TGATTGAAAGGCTAATTACAAAGTGGGATTGTATTACACTCTTTGTTTCGTAATCTGTCAATATCACTCTTACAGCTAGTGATCCATGTGGGAAGCGTTCATCTTTCTCTATAGTTGATCCTAATGAAAGAATATAATCCCAAAATCTATTTCAATAGTTAACAATTGTTATAGGACCATGAGCTCCCATGGTGTGCAATTGTGGGGTGGAACTAGTGAAGTGTGAGCTCGACAAGAACAATCTGTGAGGCCGCTTCTCCTTTGTGGTGACAATGACTCCTGATTCATCCATTGGGAATTAAATCACACATCCAACAGAGCTTCGTTGATCCATATCGCCTAGCTGGTATTGTAACACCCCACTTGAGGTACGTAGTTAAGATTTGATGAATGGCTTGAATGCTTGTTAATTTATCCTCATTTGAGTCTGTATGTTGTTAATATTGCTTGGTTTACCCTTAGTTGAAAAGGTGTTTTGGTTTGGTTGAGTGAATGCCCTGAAAATTTATAAGACTTGGCGAAATCTGGATGTTACAGTCTTCGCCGGGGCGAAGAAGAAAACTTCGCCGCGGCGATAAAGTGCTACATCCCGTGTAGCTGCTATGAGTTTTCGCCGGGGCGAAGAAATAGCTTCGCCGCGGCAAAGACTCGGTTGAATTGTTTTCCTTGAATTTTAGGGAATTCTTCCTTTTGAGACTCAATGACCATTCTACCCATTTTTAGAAGGAAAAGTGGGGAGTGAAATGCAAGGAAATTGCATGGAGAATAGGTTGAATGGGGTTGTTTTTGCAAAGAATGAAAGGTCATAGGTGGAATTTCAAAGAAGGAGCAAGGGTATATTGGGAAAGAGTGTAGAAAATATGAGATATTAAGGGTTTAGCTTTAGAAACCCTTTCATTTGCCTCTTGACCACCGCCTCTTTCATCCTTTATTTCTCTCAAATTTTCATTCAAGTTTCCAAGGATCTTTGAAGAGCTTTTGACTAGAAATTGTTACAAGTTGATCCTAAGTACTAAAAGGTGAGAATCCTTACTCTAGATGTAAGTTTTATTTTTGAAAGAGTAGGATCCTTATTGAGTTTATATTGAAGGTTTAAGAGGAAGAATCAAGCCTTCAAGAGTAGAAAGCTTAAGTGGGTTCTCCTTGAGCTTAAGGTAAGTAAATTCACCTATTGTTATTTTACTTGATTGAATGATGTGTAGAGATTTATATATGTGCTTAATGCTAGAATTTCTATGTTTGAAATGAGTTGATGATTCAATGTTGTTATATGAAAGAATTTCCACCATGAGAAGGGTGGATTGTGTTGTTAAAGTTTGGTAGAAGTGTGGATAGAATTAGAAGAATTGAGAGGATATTGAAGGTGTGTTTCCTTACAGGATGTATGATGTTTTAAAGGAGTTGAACTCCTATTTTGATGATTAAGAGAGAAATATCATTACAAAATAGAATAGAGTTTATGTATGCACACATATTGTTTGATGAAATGTCTAAAAAGCATGAGTAGAAGTAGAGAACCTTACTTTATGCAACATAGCATATTTGCATGTCATGAATGCATATAGAAAGATTTTAGGCATGAGCCATCCATATGCTATGTTTAATTGAGTAATCACATGAAAAGAAATATGAGAATGAAAAGAAACTCTATGATAGAGATAAAGAAATAACTAATTCTCTTAGAGTAAAGAGAAAGAAGAACTAGCACTGAGGATAAAATGATATTAAAGAAAATACAATTCTTAGAGTAAAGAGAAAGAAAGAACTAGCACTAGAGGATAAATGATTATTAAGTGTACAGAAAGAAAAGAAAATAGGCTGTGCGATGGGGAACTCGTGAGTGTAGAGTTACCCTCATGTAAACCGCATGAAAAGAGCGGTCTCCACCATGAGGAGCGGAATGCATGTAACCGCTATAGAAAGAGGCGTCTCCACTGAGAGAGCGGAATGCATGTAAACCGCTATGAAGAGAGAGCGGTCTCTGCTATAAAAGCGAATGAGAATGAGAAAAAGAAAAGAATAGAAAGAAAAGAAAAGAAAAAAATGAGATTTTGAATTAGAAAAAAAATGACAAGAGTACGAAAAGAATTGATGAGTAATGCACGGGGTATAGAGTAGGAGATTTTACTTACTGGGCATCTTTGTGCTCACTCTGTTGTTTTCTTTGTTGTACAAGACATAGGTGAGGACCTGGTCGGATGGACATCGGCAAGCGGGGAGACTTGGCTGCACTGTCCACTGTTTTCGTTTTTAGAGTCTTTTGTACAAATGATGTTGTCTTTGTAAAGAATGTAATTATTAAGTAAGAAAAAAAAAATTTGGGCCCAACTGTTTGATAAACATGCTGTCTTTTTATTAATATATATTATGAATATGGTAGTAGAAAGAAGTTGTTACAGGTTTCTCCGGTTCTTTGAAGAACCCGAAGGTAATTAATGTGAAGACTAGAGGCCCACCAGGGATGGTATTTTGAGAAGTTGGCATCATGTAAGTGAGGTTAGACTTGTAGCCAAATGCTTGAATGAAGAACTCTAGATTTCTTCATTACTTAACTAAGAATTTGAGATATAGGAAGTATCTTATAGAAGTGATGAACGAAATAGAGACAACAACAGGAACAAAATATAATAGTAAAACAAATCAAACAATAAACAAAGAAAAAATAATACGCGCGATTTACCTTGGTTCACCCAATGTAGGCTACGTCCAGCTGAGTCAATATTATTGCAATATGCCTCATCTCTCTCGTTTACAATCAATGAATTGCTCTCGCACTCATAACAAGAGAAAAGTATGTTTATATACTAGGTTTAAGAGATTAAACCTAGTTTTACAAGGATTCCTATTCCTAAGCCCAACCCAAAAAGGAATTAATAACTTAAAAGAAATCCTACAGCGGTTATACATGGAAAAGCCCAAAACCGCCTACGAGCTTGGGGGCACTGCCCCCGCGATCTCCGCCTGCTCACTGAGGAGCGGGGTACCCGCCCGCTGACCGGGCAGCGGGACCCCCGAGTGCGTCTCGGTTACCCATTAATGCTAAAGTAGTTGACAACTCCAACAAGTGAGGAGGCTAGATTTCTAACACTTCTAACCCCGAGCTTGGTTGCAAGCCTTTTTGACTCCTTTTATACCGTTTTTCATATTGTAAGGATTGGAAGTGTAATTTCTTCTTTCCTTCGGTGGAGTAGAGATGGACATAGATGGCCCATACATGCACTACTGTTCAATCATCTTCAATTTCTGCTTTTTTCAAGCATGCTTCCTTTTTTAATGGATTGAAAATAGTTATTTTTCCAGTTTTTCGCATCAATACGAAGAATTGGTGTAATGCCAACATCTGTTTCCTGTCTCTCAACATCTTAGAAGAGAATTAAAATGTGTTATAAATCATACCACATTTTAATTTTTCAGCTAGCCCATGTGAATTCCCATTAACATCAACTCAATTGCAAAGGACAAAGTACCAATTATGAAAGTCACAGATAACATGCAAGATATACCCAAGAAAAATCAATCTCATAATAGTGGGTTTAAGTATGTGGGTAAAACAGATTCAAAAATGGAAATAGCATTTGGAGAACATCATCCATTCTTGTTCCTTCCACCTTCCAGGCTGTTTGATGGGCAAAATTCAATGCAAAAGAGCTTTAGATTTATTCATATTCAAAAATTATCGGTCCTGATGGGATCAGTCGACTTAAATCCAATTAGCGGTTCCTTTTTCTTTTTTACTTTATGGGTTTTGCTTCAAGCAGTAACCTAACTAGCTCTTTTATTTCTCCCTAATGTTTTGTTGGATAAATCCGATAATTGTATAAAAAAGAATAAAGAAAATTACAGTCTAGGAAGGAGGAGTCCTTCCCTCAAAGAAACTTGAACAGGCCCAAGGAACAAACAAAGCAAACAAAGGCCAGAAATTAAAGGAAAACAAAATCTTTTACAAGCTAAGCCCAATCAAAAAGAAGGCCCAGGAAACTAAACAAAACCAAGCTATACAAAAGAAAACTAGACTGCAGGCCAGAAGCCTAACAAAGACACCAGTTCCTTAGAGGTGTTCAGAAAAATATAAAAATCGAATCAAACAAAATTTTCAATTAATCAAAAAATTGGTTTGGTTTTGATTCATAGAAATTAAAAAATTATTTTTTTGTTCGGTTATCAGTTTGAGAGAAAATGCAAACCGGTTTTACTAACCGGTTACAATATTATAATATGTAGATTAAATTAAAAAAAAAATTCCCTAAACCTAAATCCCTTTTACATATGTATGAATATTTAATTTTTATTTGGATATGTATTGTTAATGTTTACAATTTAAATCAGAAAAAACTAAAAAAAAAATTAGTTTAAGCCTGAAGGGGAAAACCAGTTCAAAACTGGTTAACCGGTTTTTTGGTTAACTAAAAAACCAATTTTCTCCTAAGCCGGTTGGGTTTCGGTTCATAAAAATTCTTGAACCTAAAAACTGGTTCAGTTTAAGAACCAATTTTGAACCGAACCAGTTTTGAACACCTCGATTTCTTCATAAACTAAGAAGAAAATAATTTGGAGGATTGTGTCCTGCTATATATATATATATATATTCAACGCGAATGAAAATTCAGTTAGTAATAATGTTTCCAGCTAACCCAAAATGATTTCAATTTGACTACTTGAACTCGCGTGCTCTTCAGTTTGTTGCTAGTTCCTACCAAAATTAATATGGTCGAAGTTTCTACTTTACATTTTTCTGTAAAAAAAAAATATTTTCCCTTTATTTCTATTCTTGGATGATAAATTATTGTAAATTTATCATGATAAACAAGGACCCTGATGCCAAACATGATAAATATGATATGAATGTTTGTGTAAAATGCAGAATATCACTAATTGATTGTATGTTTAAACATGAATTAGCCAAAAAAAATAAAAAAAAAATGTTTTCAACATGAACTGAGCATGCGTGTAGAATTTAATATCAAGTACCTAATCCCTAGCTCTATAAGAATTCAAGTGCTCGATCAACTTTCTAAATTACAATGAAGAATTCACCACTAACAGTACTCTCTATCATTCTCTTTACCTTCATCACGAAAACATTAAGGGCGGCGAATACACCAGTGCTCGATCTCACCGGCGAGATGGTCGTTACAGGCACTGAATACTATATGCTAGGAATATTTGAGGGACCAGTGATACATGGAGGCCTAAATCTATACAATGGCTTAAGCAACACCTGCCCACTGGATGTAATTCAAGAACAGTGGGAAATTTTAAAGGGTCTCCCTTTAATATTTTCATATCCTAATGATCGTCGAGGAAGTGTTGTTTATGAATCCACTGATCTAAACATCAAATTTTCTGCGGCGGATAGTACTTGTTTCCAGCCAACAGTGTGGAGAGTCGGTGACTATGACAATTTAACGGGGCAGTGGTTTATAACTGGTGATGGGATTGAAGGAAATCCTGGAGCTCAAACATTGGAAAGCTGGTTTAAATTTCAGCGGGGGAATGTCAATGCATACAAGATTTCTCATTGTCCTGCAGTTTGTAGCTCCTGTATAAGTTTGTGTAGCGCTGTTGGGATTTATTTAGGTGATGGCATAAGACGTCTGGCTCTAAGTCGCACTCCATTTTCAATTGTGTTTGTCAAGGGAAGTAATGCTACAAACTAGTTTAATTTGGTTGATCAATCTAATTTTATTAATATTCAATTCACGTAACTAGTAGCATGTAACATGTATTCTCGGTAGATTTATTTAAGAAACTCCTTTTCATTCTTAATATGAAATTTTTTTTTTTATACAATATGATGAAATACAACAAACCAATGGAAGAGTAAGTGTATTCCACTCACATTGATGTGACATCTTCTTATTGATTTATTGTATTGCAACATATTGTATTGAAGACTTTCTCATATCATATATAGTATTTGCTCAACTTGGTAGATCATAGGTCTCCTATACATAATTTGGTTCAAATTGTACATAGCCTGATTTTGAAACAAGAAAAAGTCAAATAATTTTATATAAAATTTTATTAATTATCTAATTAGAACAAATAGAGAGTAAGAGAGGCAGAAAATAGAGAGAAACTGTGGGCAACCGAAAATAGAGAGTAAGAGAGGCAGAAAAGCTGGGTTTTGGTGGATTGGAGAATCTGATTGAGCCGAAATTTTGTCAGTATGCTCGTGACTCGTAGTTCTTCAATCTGAACGGCCGGATTTTCATTTGGAGCTCCCTGTGTCAGGTTTTCTGTCCTACATTTGGTGAGATTTATCCTTAATTATTTCTTGTGAAATTCCATTGTGATACTAAGATTGTGGTTCTTGATGATAGTGTTGTTGTATGTGTCTAGTTTTAGCTAGAGAAGAACACTGTATACCCATTATTCATTTAATATTGGAGTTTTTTAGGGGATTCTGGTCCCGTTGTTTTTTACTCCTCGCACAAAAGAGTTTTTCCACGTTAAAATTGACTTGTGTTTGTGTATGTGACTGGTGTTGTGATATTTCAGTTGATACATTGTATTACGTTATTGCTTCCTATTAGGATTACGTTAGAGAAGGGAGAAATTCATCCCGTTGTGCTGCCGGCCGTTATTGTTGTTTCTCCCAACATTTAATGAGTAGACGTATTGAGAATTTTGGTTTTCTTTAATAATCAATAGTCACAATCTTGAACATCGGTCCGGTAAAATCACACATCAAAAGAAAATCATGATCCATGTTTTAAATTCACACATCAAATTTGATCCACGTACGTAATAAATTAGCAAGTTTGAATTTGAACCCAAGTATGAAAACAAAATTAGTGTTTTCAACATGAACTATGTCTATTCGTGCAACAAAATATCAGTGACCTATCCTGTAGCTAGCTCTATAAATTAAAATTCAAGCTATTCTGACATCAATTTCTACACATAAACCCACCTTTCAAAATAGCAATGAAGTGTACTCCACTACTAGTACTCTCCTTCATTTTCTTTGCCTTCATCACAGAACAGTTATCAGCAACTAATACGCCGGTTCTTGATTTCACCGGCGAAAACGTCCTCACCGGCACTGAATATTATATCTTGACAACATCCCAGGAGTCTGCAAGGACTTGTGGCCTTAGTCTCTTCAATGGTGAAAGCAAGACCTGTCCACTGAATGTTATCCAAGAACAGTTGGAATTCCTAAAGGGTACCGCATTAACGTTTTCGCATGCTCATGATCAAGGTGGTGTTTTTTATGAATCCCTTCGTCTAAACATCAAATTTTAGACCACGGAAAGTATTTGTGGCCAGTCGACAGTGTGGAGGATTGGTAATTTTGATGATTCAACCGGACAGTGGTTTATAACTGGTGGTGGTATTGAAGGAAACCCTGGAGCTCAAACAATGCAAAGCTGGTTTAAGATTGAAAAGGCATCAGCACATGCATACAAGATATCTCATTGTCCTTCAGTGTACAACTCTTGCGTTAGTTTGTATAGTGATGTTGGCATTTATTCAGGTGGTGGAGTGAGACGTCTGGCTCTCAGTCATACTCCATTATCGGTTATTTTTGTCAAGGAAAGCAGTAATAATACATAATTTTGCTCGACCAATCTATTTATGTACATGTAATTCACTGAGTTGATACAGTTATTGAAATCAAGATTATGCTTTATTTTTTAAAAAAAAAAATTGTTTTCTTTTGATGAAACTTCCATATATAAATTAAACCCCTCAATCTAATTCCCAAACCTCTGGTACAATTTGAGGAGATCAAACCATTTAAACTAGTTAGTATCCCATTCCAGCTTATGCTGCTTCAGCCTTAATTTTGTATAAATACAATCTAAATATACNCCCATTATTCATTTAATATTGGAGTTTTTTAGGGGATTCTGGTCCCGTTGTTTTTTACTCCTCGCACAAAAGAGTTTTTCCACGTTAAAATTGACTTGTGTTTGTGTATGTGACTGGTGTTGTGATATTTCAGTTGATACATTGTATTACGTTGTTGCTTCCTATTAGGATTACGTTAGAGAAGGGAGAAATTCATCCCGTTGTGCTGCCGGCCGTTATTGTTGTTTCTCCCAACATTTAATGAGTAGACGTATTGAGAATTTTTGTTTTCTTTAATAATCAATAGTCACAATCTTGAACATCGCTCCGGTAAAATCACACATCAAAAGAAAATCATGATCCATGTTTTAAATTCACACATCAAATTTGATCCACGTACGTAATAAATTAGCAAGTTTGAATTTGAACCCAAGTATGAAAACAAAATTAGTGTTTTCAACATGAACTATGTCTATTCGTGCAACAAAATATCAGTGACCTATCCTGTAGCTAGCTCTATAAATTAAAATTCAAGCTATTCTGACATCAATTTCTACACATAAGCCCACCTTTCAAAATAGCAATGAAGTGTACTCCACTACTAGTACTCTCCTTCATTTTCTTTGCCTTCATCACAGAACAGTTATCAGCAACTAATACGCCGGTTCTTGATTTCACCGGCGAAAACGTCCTCACCGGCACTGAATATTATATCTTGACAACATCCCAGGAGTCTGCAAGGACTTGTGGCCTTAGTCTCTTCAATGGTGAAAGCAAGACCTGTCCACTGAATGTTATCCAAGAACAGTTGGAATTCCTAAAGGGTACCGCATTAACGTTTTCGCATGCTCATGATCAAGGTGGTGTTTTTTATGAATCCCTTCGTCTAAACATCAAATTTTAGACCACGGAAAGTATTTGTGGCCAGTCGACAGTGTGGAGGATTGGTAATTTTGATGATTCAACCGGACAGTGGTTTATAACTGGTGGTGGTATTGAAGGAAACCCTGGAGCTCAAACAATGCAAAGCTGGTTTAAGATTGAAAAGGCATCAGCACATGCATACAAGATATCTCATTGTCCTTCAGTGTGCAACTCTTGCGTTAGTTTGTATAGTGATGTTGGCATTTATTCAGGTGGTGGAGTGAGACGTCTGGCTCTCAGTCATACTCCATTATCGGTTATTTTTGTCAAGGAAAGCAGTAATAATACATAATTTTGCTCGACCAATCTATTTATGTACATGTAATTCACTGAGTTGATACAGTTATTGAAATCAAGATTATGCTTTATTTTTTAAAAAAAAAATTGTTTTCTTTTGATGAAACTTCCATATATAAATTAAACCCCTCAATCTAATTCCAAAACCTCTGGTACAATTTGAGGAGATCAAACCATTTAAACTAGTTAGTATCCCATTCCAGCTTATGCTGCTTCAGCCTTAATTTTGTATAAATACAATCTAAATATACATAGTAATTAATCCTCATCAATAAATGAAGTACATAGTAATTAATCCTCATCAATAAATGAAGGGATCATGAAAAGTATATAAATCAATAAAAGCTAAGAAGAAAAAATAACAAGAAAACCTTGATTTCTATGTAGGAAATTAAGATGGATGTACCTCTCCCCTAATGGCTAGATGGCAAACCCTTTAGCCACTAGGATTAATTATACTTAAGAGGTCTTGTATTCGAGTCACAAGAGAGGTATCTACCATATTTGTATAATTATCTTGATCTATTACGCTTGTATAGTGTTCCATGACCTTAAGAATTAGGCAAGCTCTAATATAGGCATGGAAACCTCAATTATCTTAAAAAAAAAAAAATTAAGATCGATGTGCAGACTTTTGCAGTTCTCTTATCTCTAACCATTACTTCTCTTGGCGATATTATAGAGAGAGACTTAAATATTAATATTGAGTCTCAACCTATTAACTTAAGTTTTCATGTTAAACACATATGAATAATATTATACTTATAATTGAGTCATACAATTAGATATACAATTAGAACCAGTTAAAAAATATAAGATAAAATAGTCATTTTACATAAATTTTATATAATTTTTATCTGATTGTACAACTTGTAACCATAACATTATCTAACACTTAAATAGTAAAGTAGAATCGTCTGTACTAGCTTTACTTTTTAGGACAAATGGTAACTTTAGGAGGTGTCCGGAATTCACCTGAAACTCAAGCATGAATGACGTTATTATGCATCCTGCTGATGCAAGATGTACTGTAGATAAAAAATTAAGAATCATTTTTACAGTTGTACTGGTTAGTTTTGTAAAATATAGATGTTCAAAACCTAATGCTATAGATTCAAATCCCACATATATAGTGTGATCTTGAATACATAGACTATTATCAAGATAAATGAAAGTCTTAAAAATGCAAAAATCAAAATAATTATGCATATTAAATCCATTTTTCGTTCAATTTGGAACGAACAGCGACCAACTAATACTTTGACTTTAAATTTAAGATTCTATTATGAACTGAACTTTACCTGACCTTTAGTTTATTGTATGACTATAGCCAGTGTAAATTTGTAGGGTCGTGAGATTCATCTATTTCATCTCAACATCGTTAAGGATTCATTGATAAACAAGTCCCTTTTGCACCAAGAATTTCTGCTTTTGGTAACAAAGAGATCCACCTGACTGAGATAATCGTAATTTATGTTAGATATGGTATATACTGCTCTTAACCTTGACGGATTGTCTCTCTACGATGACTCATTCTATCATAAATATTTTGTAATAGTGAGAAGTCTAATGTGAAAAGTATAGAGAGTAAAAGTGAATTGTCGTTGTAATTACTACAGAATTCTAATACTCAATAAAAATTCTCTATTTAAATGTTAAACGTATTTCTTTAATTTGAATGAATTAGACTAAATCATGTATTTTATCTTTTATTTATATTTTATTTGTTGGTTTATCCTTTCAATAATTCATAACACTTATTTATTTTGGTAACACTTCTTTCGCAAATCCCCACTGGGGAACAAGTCACATATCTAATGAATTGGCAAGTTTGACTTTGAACACAAATTGACCAAAAATGAAAACAAAAATAGTGTTTACAACATGAACTATGTCTATTCGTGCAACAAAATATCAATAACCTATCCTGTAGCCCTATAAAATTCAAGCAGTTCTTGCATTAATTTCTACACATAACCACCTTTCAAAATAGCAATGAAGAGTCCACGACTAGAATTCTCCTTCCTTTTCTTTGCCTTTATCACAAAACAATTATCAGCTGCTACTATTCCGGTTCTCGATTTCAGTGGTGAAAAACTCCTCACAGGCACCGAATACTACATTCTGTCGACATTCCAGGATCCTGCAAAGATTTGTAGTGGTCTCAATATTTTCAATGGTACAAGCAAAACCTGCCCACTGAATATTATCCAAGAACAGTTGGAATTTCAAAAGGGTGTTGCATTAACATTTTCGCATGCTGATGATCAAGAAGGTGTTGTTTACAAATCCCTTGATCTAAACATCAAATTTTCGACTGCGGAAAGTATATGTAGCCAGCCAACAGTGTGGAGAGTTGGTGACTTCGAGATTTCAACAGGACAGTGGTTTATAACTGGTAATGGAGTTGAAAGAAACCCTGGAGCTCAAACATTGGAAAGCTGGTTTAAGTTGGAGAAGAATTCAGTAAATACATACAAGATAAGACATTGTCCTTCAGTGTGCAGCTCTTGTGTAAGTTTGTGTAGCGATGTTGGCATTTATTCAGGCGGTGGTGTGAAACGTCTGGCTCTCATTCACACTCCATTAGCAATCACGTTTATCAAGGGAAAGAAGTAATACAAGCTAGTTTTGCTTGAGCGATCTAAATTATTAAATTATTGATCCAAACCAGGTTATGTTTTATTTTCGAAAAAATTTCCCTATTTATGAAACTTTCATATATAAATATAATCCCCATAAAGCTCAGGGGTCTGAGCAAGATTAATTTGATCCGAAAACCTCTTATATAATTTCCGGAAATTCAACCAGTTGAACTAGTTAGTTTCCACATATACTGTAACTCTGGAAGTACAAAAGTATAGAATCTCTTTTATCTTAGTTAACTTGGTACTAGTTGATAGAACATAGGTCTCCAGAACCTATTAAGGTAGGTTAAAATCCGACATAGCTTTGATTCTAATAATTAATTGACTATTAGTCTATTATCAAACTAGCTAGGTGAACTTTTTTATTTTTTTTGGGAAAAAAACAACAATTAAAAAAAAAAAAGCTGTATATATGGCATCTATTTCTTGTTTAATTCTGAACGAACAACCACCAACTAATATTTGGACATTAAAATTAAGATGTCTCTTAATCTGAATTTTTCTTCACCTTTATTGATCTTGCGATTTGTGGCCAATATAAATTTGTAGGGTATATATATATATATCACAGAATCCTAAATGACTCGTTTTATTTAGACAAAAGCAAGTCTTTTACAATTTTGAGAAGAAATTATGGCTTCGGCAGCGAGGAGATTCACGCACATAGAGTTGATCAGATTTCGCAATAAGTTATTTATTTTGTCAATTACTATTCTGTGAACAAGGTTCAAGAATCCCTTGTACAAGTGTCCCAAGATAACAAAATCCTTGACAGCCTCATTTGAGTAGAACTATATATATATATATATTGACAAAACACATGATATTGGAAAATGTAAATTCAGCTTGAATGAAAATTCAATTAGTAATAATGTTGACTGATCTTTTACCAATAAAAATTATTTTAATTAACACTTTGCTTGTGCCCTTCAATCTCTTCTTTATTTCAATCCACTGCTTTGCCGAACTTTCTATAAAATGCTCTCTAAAAAACTCCAAAGGGTTGGTCTGCTGGTCAAGCTAAATTAAGGGCCTATGGGGCAAGAAAAAGAAAATGGCATATAGGGGCCGTTTGGATGGGGGGAAAATAAGATAACGAAGATAATCTTCGTTTATTTTGTAAGATTCCTGTGTTTGGCTTGGGAGTAATAAAATATTATGATAATCTTTTATTGCAAATAATGTTTACTATTGGTAATGTGGGAGGTAATCTTATTACCTTATTAGGGGGTGTTATTAAAACATTATCGGGGTAATCTGATTTTTCTACCCATTTTACCCTTAATTAAAAACCATTTCGGACACAATTGGCCTCAAATGTCTACCAAATAACAATTACCTAGCCCCCCTACATTTAAGAAATTAGCTAAAACACCGCAGCCATGAAAAGTTTAAAAATTAACAAAATACCCAACCACCCAAGACCATCGCTGGCCGTGACTCACCACCGTCGGCGTCAGTCACCGTAATGGTGCATGACCGACGAGATTTAGCATTTCTGTGATTGTTTCATGGCCAAAGATGTGGCCGTGAAATGGTCATAGATGTGGCTATTTTTCAACCATGGATTTGTGATTTATGCCTATTTCTGGCTTTGTCGGCACACGGCTGACAGTATACGGCCAGTCATATGCCATTTTGTCAACTACTGACGGCTACCAGCTATGGTAGCTAGCTACCGGCAGTGGCTCGGGGTGGGTGGGGGTGATTTTGCTATAAATTAAAATTTTATATAGTTGGGGTATTTTAGCCAAATTTCAAATGTAGTGGGTTAAAAAATGATTTAAAAAATAATAATAAAAAATACTATTATATTAATATTTAAAAAGGAGGACAATTTAGTAATCTATACAGCATACCCACTCATTTATCCTCCCAACTAAACATATTTTCACTAATTTATTCAAACCAACTAAACATATTTTCTAAATATTCCTAGTAATCTTTAAGATGGTCTTTCTTTCCGTTAATATAATCTACTTTTATAATAAAATATTATATGATCCAAACACCTCATATAGTAGGAAATATAATGAAAGGAATATCACAAATATATTATAGTCATAGACCATCATACTTGTAATATTTAGAAATCACATTTAATTATAAATTTAACATGTCATGTCCCACGAATTTTATTCCAACATAAATTTAATAATATATTTATTTATTTCATTTCCAAATAAACTTAGCGAGACCCCAAAAAATGTACTAAATTGGATTGATTTGTGAAAATTTATTAGGAAAATTCGAAAAATACATCTACATCCACAAATACGTAATTGAATTGGTTTGTGAACATTAATTTGAAAATTCGACAAAAAGAAAAAAGAGAAAATGAAAACAAACAAAAACGTTTTAAACATGAACCATACTTGTATTGTTCCTAAATATCAATTCACTTGTATATCTGTCACTCTATAAAGTTCAAGCTCTTCATTCATTACCATACACAAACCAAAAAGCTCTCATAATAACAATGAAAATTCCCCTACTAGCAATCTCCTTCCTCGTCTTCGCCTTCATTGCGAAATCAATACAGGGGCTGCCTAAAAATAACGAGCCGGTGCTTGATTCCACTGGAGAGAAAGTCGTTACAAGCGCTGATTATTTCCTTTTGCCAGCAATCCCGACTCCTGGAGGAGGCGGCGGTGGCGGCCTCAATCTATTCGCTGGCAAAAACATGACATGTCCGCTCATAAACGTTATCCAAGAACACTTTGATTTGTTAAAGGGTCTTCCAATGAAATTTTCAAATGCTAAAGAAGAGGAAGGAGTTGTCTATGCATCCACTGATATAAACATCAAATTTTCGGCGGCCGAAAGCCTTTGTAGCCAGGAAACAGTATGGAAGGTTAACGACTATGACAAAAGAACAGGACAATGGTTTATAACTAATGATGGGGTTGCAGGAAACCCTGGAGTGGAGACATTGGAGAATTGGTTTAAGATTGAGAAGGTAGGGTTAAATGTGTACAAGCTAGCTCATTGTCCTTCAGTTTGTGCCTCTTGTGTGACTTTGTGTAGCGGTGTTGGGTTTTATCCAATCGATGGAATCAGACGCCTGGCTCTCAGTCGCTTTCCCTTAGCAGTTATGTTGGTCAAGAGATATTTTAATGCAACGGACTAATGGTATTGCTTCTATAAATATAAATTTTCATTTACCGTGTTCATAGATATCACTAAATTTTATGCAGCCTATACAGTGACCTTGTATAAATAATGAGTGGGAATATTATTGTATTGCTTCTTAATTAATGAGTATGAAAATATGTTGGAATGAACATAAAAGCCTTAATTAATCGTTCAATTATGTGCTGTTTAGAACCCGTTTTGCTCATAATATAATTAAAGAAGTTTTGGTTCACTTTGATGGAACATCTCCTAAATTAAACCTGGATTTCAATTCCTACGTAGAGTGACTTTTGAATCTATATATAATGAAATGCATGGAACTCAATTTCTTAATGAAATGTCATAATATAATTGTTGACTTTTGACAGTGATTGTGTGGAATTATTTATTTTGGAACAAACAGCAGCCACCTAAAAAATTTTGACCTTTAAGTTAATTAGTAGATATTAGATAGGCGGTGGGTTCATCACTACACCAAATATGATAAAAGGGTTATCCTAATATACTTCTATTCAAATAGGTTATACTGAAACTTACATGATAAAAGGGTTTTTCTTTCTTTTTCATGAAGTTTCTTTTCAAGATTTATTTTTAAGATAGAAGTTTATATACAAAGTTGTGTTTGCATTTTCTTCTTGAAAAGAGATAATGACTCAATCCTGAACATTCTACCCCAAAATTTTGTGGCAAGTTTCACGTTTCTAAGGTGGTGGCCGGGAGAGTTTGCATCTATCAAAACCACTCCAAAAGCTCATCTTCCTCTCTCCTTGTGTGGGCCAAAAATTGTCTTGGACCTTGTCAGACCCAAGCAAGTAACTTCTACTGTATAGGCCCAAGGTCGTGGGCCAATTCTGATTGGACCCACATTAAAGTCCACGTCATGGGCCAGGCCCCCGACCTAAGCCTAGCTTCTCTCCGTATTTGGCATCACCATTAATCCACCTAGGGTCAGGCCATTGGTCCATGATAACTTCTAAGGGCTCAAAGTCCCACTAAAAGCTCTAGTACACCTACTTCATATTTGGGTTTTATTCTAATTCATTCAAGATCATGTATCTTATATGAATCAAGACTCTCAATCCTACTATGGTAAGTAAATTAGGTTATTTCTTATATACTAGTACCCTGCCATTACGGATTCAAAGTACTACTAGGAATCAAAGACCCTATGACCACTATATAAGGAGGGGTCTTACCTCTTACTAGACATTCAATTTCAATACCACATACTTGCTCCCAAGCTCTTACTCTTAAGAGCTATACACTTACGCTGTAGTTCTACTCATTGACTAAACTTCTGATAACCTTATGACAGACATCACATTGGTGTTTACGTAAGTTTCGCCCTTGTTTGCTTTGTGTACAGGTTCAACGGATTATCAGTGGCCTCAACCTTACAGGATCAGACCTTTTTTTCGCAATCGTACTTTCCCGACCCAGAATTATAGAATATATATCTGGTTTTGCATGTAAAACATGTAATCTTGATTTTTATATTTTCTTTCCAACATGTGGGCTGTTTAGGCTTATTCCATGAAGAGCCGCTAAAAGATTTTTCTAAATAATTAATTCCTAATTGGGTTTGGACTTAAGAAAAGAGATTTTTGTAATAGAAGATTAATTTGATGAATTAGAATAAATCATGCTAATTTTTCTTTCTTTATATTAGTTTGATATTTGTGTGTGTTTGGTTGTTTGACTTCATAATACTCTAGATTGTTTCAGTATGGTCATCATAAAATTTACAATAATAGAAGGATGTAATGTATTGACATCTCATGATTAACCAACTTAATTAAGCTCTAACACTAATTATTTTAAGATATTAGTAGATTAATTTATATATGCAATGGGGAAACTTTTTGCCGTGGGATCTTTATTTTGATGTATTAATAATTCTAGCAGACTTCAATTGAAAGGATTTCTCATATATAATAATAAATCAGGTACAATAGATAACTAATCGAAAACGAATGAATTCAATTTTTTTGTTCATTAATAAAAGTAGAATCCGTGCATTTGAAGCAAGCAAAGCGGCAAAAGTTGAGTGTCAATAGTCTTAGTCTTTGTATGAGTGTTATGTGGTTAGTATTGAAAGGCCTAAAGAAGTAGTGAGAAACATAAAGTGTCACGAGTGTATGCAAGTCTTCCTTGTTTGTCAAAATCATCTGCATTGTGAAGTATATTCATTTGAGTTTACGTCTGGTAATCTAAGAGTTCATCAAGTTTTGATGAACATATAACTGTCTAGGAGAATATAAATGTTGTATTATCCAATAATAAAATTCTCGTGGAATTGCGTATACAGAAAAGACAAATTACATTGGCACTTTAGAGAATTTATATAAGAGTCTAGGCCACATTAGCATGGCGTCAAGTCCCACAAGTAACTTCATTAATCGTCTCTGAAAACGAACCCTAAATTTCTCTCCATGAAACCACAGGCAACTCATGATACAAACTCAACTTTGTTGGAATCACTCATGGACGAGAAACTGATAACCAAACCACATAAAGACCCTTTACCCAAGTTCGAGCTAGAAGAATACATGGCCAAGATGGCTAAACAAATCAACAAGGCACTAGATGAGGCAGTTCCATTGCAAAATCCTCAAACACTTCATGAGGCAATGAGATACACTTTTCTAGCGGGTGGAAACCGCGTATTTTCAACTCTATGTATTGCTTCATGTGAGTTGGTTGGAGGAAACCAATCTTTGGCGATGCCAATGGCTTGTGCAATGGAGATGATCACAACATCAGCTGTAATTCTTGACGATCTCCCTTGTATGGACAACGACGATCTTCGACGAGGCAAGCCAGCAAACCACAAAGTTTTTGGAGAAGCAGCATCCGTACTTGGCAGCCACGGTCTCTTCTGTCTTGCAATTGAGCATTTCGCTAACAAAACCGAAAACATTTCTCCTGACCGCAAGCTTCGAGCCATTGTTGAAATATGCTCAGCATTTGGCTCAGAAGGAGCTCTGGCAGGACAGATTACAGACCTAAATAGTGAAGGAAAAGAAGTAAATTTGAGTGAATTGGAGTTTATTCATAGGAATAAAAGTGGGAAATTCGGAGAGGCGTCAACTGTTTGTGGGGCTATTTTGGGAGGGGGGAATGAAGATGAGATTGCGAGGTTGAGAAATTATGGAATGTGTGTAGGGCTTGCATATCAAGTGATGGATGACATTTTAGATGCAACTGGTAATAAAAATAATAAAGATCAAGAAGGTGGGAGGGATTTGCTACGCGATAAGGCTACATATCCAAAGCTGATTGGTGTCGATGAGTCGATGAAGTATGCAAGGGAGCTGGTGGCACAAGCCATTAAAGAACTTGAATATTTTGATTCTGTAAGGGCTGCGCCATTGTATCAAATGGCTAACTTCATTGTTTCTGGAAAATGTTAGCTCATTTCTCTATGTATGCACTCTTGAAACTTAATGTAAAGCCATTGGAATTATTTCTTAATTTATGTGGAGATAGAGATTGTGTTCAATGTTGAATTTTTATATTTGAATTCATATTTCATTTATTATGAATGAATTATAGGTTCTGATATAAAAAGCATATTCAATCCATGAAAGGGAAATAAAAATATAAATTTAATTCATGGTTTATTGTATATCATCTTTTAGTTTTAGATAATAATTAAAGAAAATAAATAAAAATAAATCTAATTTTCTTAACCAAAATAAAATATTTAAAGAAAGAAATCTCGAATTAATAAGGAAATAAAAATATTAAATCTAGTTAGTTTCCTATATTATTTGCCTCTAGACTCTTAACTTTAGAAAAATGTTTACATAGATTAACTATCAAAGAAATTTAAAAAAAAAAAAAAAAAAATGGCTGCAAACTTTAAGTTAATTATATAGAATCTGCAACTCGAAGAGGATTAAGGGGCTACCAGTGCCAGTCTGCCAGAGTACCAATTCGATTGAAATTGAAGAGACTGGGGCTAGACATAACTTACCAGAACAAGAAAGATCATCCATTATTTAATGACATGAAAAAATCGTGATTCAGTTTTCAACAACCATGACAATTTTGCATGCATTATTTCAGTAATATTAGTAGCGTTAATATTTCAAAAGCCTTATTGCATGTGAAATCGTTCAAATACTTTAGAAATTTTCCTCATTGTGAGCTAACATTAATTATAATTTTGTTTTAATTAAAACCAGATAAATGTACCGCCCAAATAAGATATCATAATGGGTTTTATGTGATTGTTTCAAGATTCTTCAATACACTTAATTATAATAATCTAGGTTAACTACTAGTGTTTAGTGTGGGTTTTAACCTTTAATAGATTTCAAGGTTTATTGGATTTTTAATAGCTTGAGGGTTTATTGGGTCTTTAATGGGAGGACCTAATTAACCAATATTAAAATTGGTTAAGTCTCATTTCTAAACGCATCAGAATAGTTTAACCCATTGTAAGTTCGTCATTCAATGTGCGTTTTTTAAAAGGAAGACCTATCACTGTCTGTCACTCTTATCAGTTGAAGAACTGGCAGGCATAAATAGGTTTGTTTATAATCCCTAATTGTTAATTCAGTCTTTTATAACATATGCGATTTTGTGATTCTGAAATTGATTAAATGATGATTGTTCATTATTATATTGTGATTTCAATTTCAAAATAAATTGCAAATTTGATAGAAAGGAACTCAAGGTTTGACGTTTCTCACGGGTATAAATAAACATAATTTGTTATTAAAATTTGATATTAATACGTATTCGAGGCACATCAAGGTCATGTGATCACCTTCAGAACAGTCAATTTTTTAACTTACATATTAATTATATAAAAGAAAAATCAAAGTTTCTAATAGCTACTCAAATTGATTAATTATTGGACAAAGCAAAACACAAATAAATATTGGCTAATGGCTGAGATCCCATTATTAGCAATCGAAGTAGAGAAATTATATTCATCAACAGAAATTATATTATTAGCAAGCGAAGTAGATCCAGATAGTTTGGTCAGAATTCCAGATAGTTTGGTCGGAATTTGACAAAACTTGAGACTTTGAAGCATGTAGAAGTAGAAGCTGCTGTTTGGAACCAAATTAATCCAGAAAAGTTGGTTAATCTTCGAGAGCTGTGCATGTCTTTGTACTATGATGCAGAACAAGACGAGTTCACTTTCAATTCCATTGCTAAACTGAAATGGTTTACATTATCAACGTTTGGAGAAGATTGTTTTTTTGGTTCACTGCAACTCCTTTCTCGTTGCCAACATCTTCTAGACTTGAACTTAGTTGGGAAGCTACAGAACCTACCTGGAAACCTGCATAAACTGGTGCCAAATCTTGAATACATATCATTAGACTATTCAGATCTCAGAGACGACCCAATGCCTACACTAGAGAAGTTGCTAAACCTCAAGCATCTGCAACTGGGCAGGCATCACTTCGTATCATGGAAAGCAGATGATCTGCTCAGCGAAGGGTTTTCCTCGGCTTGAAACTCTAGTTCTTTTTACGAAAAAACTACAAGAGTGGCAAGTAGAGGAAGGAACTATGCCTGTGCTTAAGCGTTTACGAATCCAAAAGGACTCCAAATTCACAATTCCAGAAAGGTTGAACTCCATCGCCATAAAATTCTCAAATGAAGTGCGACTCCAAAGAACAAAACTTCTAATTTTTTTTTTACTTTCTTTGTGTTGTGCTTTCCTTCAATCTGTAATTTATAAGTGGAGTTTCCTTATGATCATTTCATTTGCAATCCCAACTAATATATTCAGTATTATAAGGTTATACAGACGGATTAATGACTAAAAATTTATTAATAGTAACTTTTTGCTATGCATTTCTAGGAGTGACAGTGATAAATATAACGGTTCCATATTTTCATCAACTTTATCAAAATCTAACAATATATTTATAAATGAAAACGAATTCATATTGGATCTTAACTACTTAAATTCAAACTTTAGAAGAAGGCATTTGGTAAGTAGTCTCTTTTGTTTTGAATATAATCTTAATTCAATCTTACTCCTCGTATCATTATTAAGTTTACTTTATTTTACTGTAAACTTCTAAACTAAATGTTCTAAAACTTTAATAACTGGTAACACTATTCTGAAACCCAGCCCAGCCCCTGGTGTCAATATCGGCCGAAATCTAGGGGGAAAAATCAATTCAATTGCGGTGGTATACGCAAGTCACAACCAGCGAATAAGGGGTTACCAAGTGTTGGAGTTAGATGAGTTTTATAGAGTGGAGACCAATGATTCAGGTGCTGGTGTCGGATTAAATTTTGGCCGCCAAATTTGGCCTAGAAAAGTAAAATCCTAATAATGTGTCAGTATCATAGGGTATGTTTGTTGGATTTCAACTTTCAGGGACTGATGGTATTTATCAGCTGTATGTTTGCTAAATTTCAAACTTACTGAATCACCGGTCGGACCAGTCAACCCAGGACTCGGTCCCTTGGCCGGCTGACAGGTAATGGATTGAGACTAACAGAACCTTATATTTTAAAACATTGACATTTGCATATAACAAAAGCTGTAGTTCAGAAGTCTAATCAGCTGGACTAATTAATTTCTCGCATCTCTTAAGAAATATAATATAGATGATCAACAAATACATGACAGCTTAGATAATTACAAAACAACAACCTAGAATTTGAAAATAGGGCACTGATTAAAGGATTAGGTGTTAAAAAAAAAAAATTACAATAATCGAAGTCAAACGAACATTAACGTCACCCACGTTAATCTGGAAGATTTAGCATAAATTAAATTTGAAGCAGCAAATAACATACAGTCTAGCATATTATTATTGCTATCCACTAACAGGCAACTTCCATATTATCTATACATTATAAGAAATAAACAATTAACATACAATTCAGCATTAAAAACTAACAACAATAAAAGGGATCTCATCTGTCACTTAAACTACCACAACTCAAAGCAAGAAAACTCAAATTTGTGAAGTATGATCAATGCACTAGTCTCATTTGTGATTCAGAGGCTTGGGGACTATCTCATTCAAGAACTGGTCTTCTTGCAAGGAGTGAAAAATGAAGTGGCATCACTGAAGAAAGAGTTAGAATGGATGCATTGTTTCATAAATGATGCAGAGAAAAAACAAATTAATGACTATACGATACGCCAGTGGGTAATCGACATCATAGACATCGCTTACGATTGTGAGGATGTCTTGGATAAATTTATGATCCAGATTCATGATGAAGGGAATTCAAATATGCTCAAAGTTGACCAAGGCGAGACTTCAGAAAGAAGGCAGAGACGGCTCTTTACATTCCTGAAGAAGTGTTCTTGCATTTGCAGCAAAGGCAAAGAACAGATCGATCTCTATGGAATAGGCAAAGAGATTGAAGCACTAAAAGAGAGACTCAATGATGTCTCCCGTAGACGTCAATTATATAACCTCCAAAATATTAACGACATCAACAGGGAAGGAGAGAGCTCAGTCCTTGGCAGATTGAAAGAACTAAGAAGAGTCAATTCCTTGCAGCTTGAAAACATTAAAAGTGTTGGCTACAAGGATGATATTGACACATTGTTGGCTCGACTACTTGATCAAAATAAGCCACAACGTTTCGTAATTTCAATTTTTGGCACTGGTGGCTTAGGTAAAACAACTCTTGCTGGAAAACTTTATCATCATGAAGTCATCAAGCATAAATTCAATCGTCGTGCCTGGGTTTCTGTTTCTCAAGATTATGATAATAAAGATCTTCTTCAAAGAATTTTATATTCTTTCAATAAGGATTGAGATATGACAGAGCTGGAGAAGATGAGTAAAACAGGACTGGAGAGATATCTTCAACAATCGTTGCAAGGACACACATATTTGGTGGTGATTGATGATATATGGCATAAAGAAGCTTGGGAGAGTCTCAAAAGGGCCTTTCCGGACGAAAATAATGGCAGTAGAGTAATTATTACCACTCGGATGAAAGACCTTGCTGAACGTGTAGATGAGGATACTTTTCCTTATGCACTTCGATTTCTAAGGCCAGATGAGAGTTGGCAGTTATTTTGTGAGAAAGCTTTTAAAAATTTCAATATAGATGAAGGATTGGAGAAGCTGGGAAGGGAAATGGTGCAAAAGTGTAGCGGCCTACCACTTGCCATTGTTGTATTGGCTGGGTTATTATCTACAAAGAAGCCGCACAAGTGGTCTTCAATGCGTGACCACATTTGGAAAGATTTAAGCAATAATTCTAGTGAAATCACATATTTACTGGCTTTGAGTTTCAATGAATTACCTTCTGAATTGAAGGTGTGCTTTCTTTATCTGGGCCTTTTTCCAGAAGATCGTGAAATCCAAACTGAGAAATTAATTCACCTATGGGTAGCTGAAGGTCTCATATCGCAGAACGAAGAACAAACAATGGAAGAATTGGCTGAGGATAACTTGAATAAGCTGATTAATAGAAGCCTAATTCAAATAAGCAAAACAAGTAGGGGGAAGATATTAACATGCCGAGTCCATGATCTCTTACGTGATCTAGCAATTCGAAAGGCAAAAGAGCTCAACTTCATGTGCATTAATGAGGAAACCAAAAGTTCAACACAATCTTCAAAATTAATTCGACGACAAGCTGTTTATCTTGGGGGAGAGACGTGCTTGTGGCTTCAACATTGTAACCCAGTCTCTCGTTCCCTTTTGTTCTTCGATCAATACTCTCTCTCTAGTAATCTGCCAACTCTTGTGGAAGACTTATTATTATACGTTTGCACAAGATTCAGAGTAGTAAGAGTGCTCGATCTTGAAAATTGCTTCATTGGAGAATCAGAGAGCTTACCTGGAGCTATAGGAATGTTGATTCACTTGAAGTATTTGGGATTAAGAAATACATCTGTTCTTCATCTTCCACCTTCCATTGGCAACTTGTTGAGCCTACAAACTCTGGACTTACCAACACATGTTCGTCGACGTGCTCTTCTTCAACTGCCAACTGCAATTTGTAAGTTGACAGAGTTAAGACATCTTATTCGATGTTTTAATTGGAATTTGCCAATAGACAATTTGACAAAGCTTCAGACTTTGAAGTATGTAGAAGGTAACGTTTGGTCTCGATTTAATCCAGAAAAGTTGGTTAATCTTCGAGAGCTGTGCATATCTTTGTACTATGATGCAGAACAAGACGAGTTCACTTTTGATTCCATTGCCAACTTGAAAAGCCTATGGATTTTATCAATTGAATTATCAATGTCCATGGGAAGTTATTTTTTTGGTTCACTGCAGCCACTTTCTCATTGCCAACATCTCCTAGACTTGCACTTGGATGGGAAGATAGAGACCCTACCAGGAAACCTCCATGAACTAGTACCAAATCTTGAATGCCTATCACTAGAGAATTCAAAACTCAGTGATGACCCAATGCCTATGTTAGAGAAGTTGCCAAGCCTCACGCATCTGCAACTGGGCTTCACTTCATACTATGGAAAGAAGATGATATGCCCGGCAAAGGGTTTTCCTCGGCTTGAAATTCTAGTTATTCGATTGAAAACATTACATGAATGGCAAGTAGAGGAAGGAGCTCTGCCTATGCTTAGGTGTTTGAGAATCAGAAGACACTCAAAATTCACGATTCCAGAAAGATTGAGCTCCATCTACATTATAAAATTATCAGATGAAGTCGAACTCAACAGAACTAACTACTTCGAACTTTGACTTCCGTTTGTTGTGCTTTCATTTAATTTGTAATTTGAGAAGCGGAGTTTTCTTTATAAACAATTCATTTGCATTCCTAGCTAACTACCTGTATTCAGTATTTATCAATCCATGTCAGACTCAAACTAGACCTTCCTATATACTCAGTAATAGTCTAGTCAATTTCAAGGCACTAACTACAATTAAATGTCGAAAATTTTACCCATTTATGTAGCTCTCCATCGAGCTCTGCGTTTTTTCTTTCACGTTCCGTTGCATTTGTGAAGCTCAATTGAAAGAATGTCTGCTTCGACTTTGCAGATGGATGGCACCTATTTTTTTTCACATAATTAATTATTAAAATTAGAAAAAGAAAATACAAATAGCAGTGAAAGAGTGAGTGAACAGGAAGAACTCACTAAGTCGTAATGAGAAGTGGAGGCGTGAATAGTGAGAATGACGGAGACAGTGGCCAGGAAGAGAAGAGAGAACATGGCGGAGGCAAAGATCCGGTGGGAGAAGAAGCTATGTAAGCCCACACCAACTCCGGCGCCTCGGCCTCCTCGGATAGCCACCGCGATTGAATGTCGAAATCCGATCGTTAACTTGCAGGAAACCAACTCAATGGCCTTGGCCTACTCGGATAGCCACCGGGATTGGCTGTCGGAATCCGATCGTTAACTTGCAGGAAATGCGACGATCACTGCACTGATAGCACAATACGTCGTTACTTTTCCACGAAGTGTGAATGGTCGCTTATCGTTTAACGTCAATGTCAGTTAATTATTAATTAGGTAATGAAACATTACGTACGACAAATGAAAATATGTAGAGTGCGCCAAATCATCCGCAACCGCAAGTCTCGTACGATATATATCATAAAGAGGTCAGCTGGTCCAAGTACCCGGCCCAATCTCTTGGAACCGGAATCGAATTTAGGAACCGAATCCGGTCAATTCCTTCTGGATCCTGGTACCTGACACTGTTTACACAAATATACACACCCGTCATATTCGCGAAAATGACAAATATACCCCGTAAAAAGTATAACTACACCCTCAACTATTTACAGAAATTATAAATACACTTTGGGTACCCGAAGGTGGTTGGTTCCACCCTATGTATCTGGACCTTGGTTTCAATTTCAGGTCTAGATCCGATTCTTGAAGTGGTGAAACTCGACCCAAACTTGTGTAGTGTGAAATCAAAACTAAGACCCTGAATACTCATGGTTCCGATTCTACCAAAACAATTTGCTTACCCCTAAAATCATCTACTTCTAATAAATGATAAGTCATCTAAACACCTCATACGACTTGTTGTCTACGGTACACACCAATACAACATCCATAACCATAAACCATAATGCTTAAGAGTATTTGGACATGTCGTTTTAACCACTTTTTAAATGAACAATTGATTTAAGTTGGGATAATACTATATTTATAACCCAATTTTATAACCTCTCGGTGATAGTTCCCAATATTTTGCATGAATTTTCCCAAATTTGAATTCATCAGCAAAAAATTATGAATGATCACGCAGGGTTTGTGGGATTGAATTGTAAGTAATTTTTTATTATTTAAGTCATGAGTTCATGACCCGGGAACTAAGCCAAGGACGACTTGACCACTCCGGGTAAAGAAAGCATAAGAAAGTTTAAATTTCTACATTAGATTCAATAAAACTTTTCTAAGTTTCAATTGACGAGAGCCACTTCTTTACATGTACGGTCCTTTTCAAACACTTAACACACGGTTTAGTAGTCAAACATGACTCGACTATTTTGAAGAAAACGAAAAGTTGAAAATTCTAAATTTAATGAAATGTGGAAGTTTTTCATTCAACAAGAGAATATATAAATCACAAATTCTGTAACCCATTTTCTTATACTCGTGAATTCTGAATGTAGAAATTTGTTTTTGTTTAGTGTTCATACGTGAAAACAAATAGGAACTATTCTTCATCAGAATGGTTGATGCCGTAGTATCATTTGTGATCGAGAGGCTTAGCGATTATCTCATCGAACAAGCAGTTTCCCTAGGCGGCGGACATGAAGTTTGCTTAGGCAGCGGAGTGCGTGAAGTGGAGTCGCTGAAGAGAGATTTGCAATGGATGGTTTGTTTCATAAAGGATGCAGAAGATAAACAAGTTGAAAACCCTTTGATAAGGCAGTGGGTTTCTGATATCAGAGACATTGCTTATGTTTCTGAGGATGTGTTAGATAGATATATGGCTTCCAATAGAAGGCAAAATGGACTCTTAACGACGTGTTCTTCCATGTTCGATCGTTACAGCATGCGCAGGGAGATTGAAGCAATTAAACATAGACTCAGTGACATCTCTCGAAGATGCGAGTTATTTGGTCTCAGAAGGATTGATAAAGTGAGTGAAGGAGGGAGCCATGCTCTTTGCAGACTGAAACAACTGAGAAGAACCACCTCCTTCGAACGCAATGAGATTAATGTTGTTGGATTTGAAGATGATATTCGCAAGTTATTGGCTAAACTGCTCGAGAATCGTCCGCAACGGTATTTAATCTCTATCTTTGGCACAGGTGGATTGGGTAAAACAACTCTTGCTAGAAAACTTTATCACAATATCAAAGTCAGGAATAGGTTCTATCATCGGGCTTGGGTTTATGTGTCTCAAGATTACAAAACTCGAGATCTTCTTCTAAGAATTATAAAGTCATTCAACATGGAGGGCACACCAGAGCTGGAGAAGATGAGTGAAGAAGATATGGAGAGATATCTTCATAAGTCTCTACAGGGATGCTCATACTTGTTGGTGATTGATGATATATGGCAAAAGGAAGCTTGGATGAGTCTGAGAAGAGCCTTTCCGGACAACAAGAAAGGCAGTAGAGTAATTATCACAACTCGCATCAGAGATGTTGCTGAAAACTTGGATGAGATAACTTTTGTTCATCCTCTTCGATTTCTCACGCCAAGTGAGAGTTGGCAGCTATTTTGTGAGAAGGCTTTTCATCACATAAACGACGAAGGATTGGAGAAGCTGGGAAGGGAAATGGTGCTAAAATGTGGCGGTCTACCACTTGCTATTGTTGTATTGGGTGGATTACTGTCTACAAAGAAGCCACAGGAGTGGCTTCAAGTGCGTAATCACATTTGGCGAGATTTGAAGAATGGTTCTATTGAAATCTCTCATCTACTGGCTTTAAGCTTCCATGATTTACCTTATCAATTGAAGTTGTGCTTTCTCTACTTGGGAAATTTTCCGGAAGACTCTGAAATAAGGATAAAGAGACTCANCCGCAACCGCAAGTCTCGTACGATATATATCATCAAGGGGTGACCGGGTGAGCTGGTCCAAGTACCCGGTCCAATCTCTTGGAACCGGAATCGAATTTAGGAACCGAATCCGGTCAATTCCTTCTGGATCCTGGTACCTGACACTGTTTACACAAATATACACACCCGTCATATTCGCGAAAATGACAAATATACCCCGTAAAAAGTATAACTACACCCTCAACTATTTACAGAAATTATAAATACACTTTGGGTACCCGAAGGTGGTTGGTTCCACCCTAAGTATCTGGACCTTGGTTTCAATTTCAGGTCTAGATATGATTCTTGAAGTGGTGAAACTCGACCCAAACTTGTGTAGTGTGAAATCAAAACTAAGACCCTGAATACTCATGGTTCCGATTCTACCAAAACAATTTGCTTACCCCTAAAATCATCTACTTCTAATAAATGATAAGTCATCTAAACACCTCATACGACTTGTTGTCTACGGTACACACCAATACAACATCCATAACCATAAACCATAATGCTTAAGAGTATTTGGACATGTCGTTTTAACCACTTTTTAAATGAACAATTGATTTAAGTTGGGATAATACTATATTTATAACCCAATTTTATAACCTCTCGGTGATAGTTCCCAATATTTTGCATGAATTTTCCCAAATTTGAATTCATCAGCAAAAAATTATGAATGATCACGCAGGGTTTGTGGGATTGAATTGTAAGTAATTTTTTATTATTTAAGTCATGAGTTCATGACCCGGGAACTAAGCCAAGGACGACTTGACCACTCCGGGTAAAGAAAGCATAAGAAAGTTTAAATTTCTACATTAGATTCAATAAAACTTTTCTAAGTTTCAATTGACGAGAGCCACTTCTTTACATGTACGGTCCTTTTCAAACACTTAACACACGGTTTAGTAGTCAAACATGACTCGACTATCTTGAAGAAAACGAAAAGTTGAAAATTCTAAATTTAATGAAATGTGGAAGTTTTTCATTCAACAAGAGAATATATAAATCACAAATTCTGTAACCCATTTTCTTATAGTCGTGAATTCTGAATGTGGAAATTTGTTTTTGTTTCGTGTTCATACGTGAAAACAAATAGGAACTATTCTTCATCAGAATGGTTGATGCCGTAGTATCATTTGTGATCGAGAGGCTTAGCGATTATCTCATCGAACAAGCAGTTTCCCTAGGCAGCGGACATGAAGTTTGCTTAGGCAGCGGAGTGCGTGAAGTGGAGTCGCTGAAGAGAGATTTGCAATGGATGGTTTGTTTCATAAAGGATGCAGAAGATAAACAAGTTGAAAACCCTTTGATAAGGCAGTGGGTTTCTGATATCAGAGACATTGCTTATGTTTCTGAGGATGTGTTAGATAGATATATGGCTTCCAATAGAAGGCAAAATGGACTCTTAACGACGTGTTCTTCCATGTTCGATCGTTACAGCATGCGCAGGGAGATTGAAGCAATTAAACATAGACTCAGTGACATCTCTCGAAGATGCGAGTTATTTGGTCTCAGAAGGATTGATAAAGTGAGTGAAGGAGGGAGCCATGCTCTTTGCAGACTGAAACAACTGAGAAGAACCACTTCCTTCGAACGCAATGAGATTAATGTTGTTGGATTTGAAGATGATATTCGCAAGTTATTGGCTAAACTGCTCGAGAATCGTCCGCAACGGTATTTAATCTCTATCTTTGGCACAGGTGGATTGGGTAAAACAACTCTTGCTAGAAAACTTTATCACAATATCAAAGTCAGGAATAGGTTCTATCATCGTGCTTGGGTTTATGTGTCTCAAGATTACAAAACTCGAGATCTTCTTCTAAGAATTATAAAGTCATTCAACATGGAGGGCACACCAGAGCTGGAGAAGATGAGTGAAGAAGATATGGAGAGATATCTTCATAAGTCTCTACAGGGATGCTCATACTTGTTGGTGATTGATGATATATGGCAAAAGGAAGCTTGGATGAGTCTGAGAAGAGCCTTTCCGGACAACAAGAAAGGCAGTAGAGTAATTATCACAACTCGCATCAGAGATGTTGCTGAAAACTTGGATGAGATAACTTTTGTTCATCCTCTTCGATTTTTGACGCCAAGTGAGAGTTGGCAGCTATTTTGTGAGAAGGCTTTTCATCACATAAACGACGAAGGATTGGAGAAGCTGGGAAGGGAAATGGTGCTAAAATGTGGCGGTCTACCACTTGCTATTGTTGTATTGGGTGGATTACTGTCTACAAAGAAGCCACAGGAGTGGCTTCAAGTGCGTAATCACATTTGGCGAGATTTGAAGAATGGTTCTATTGAAATCTCTCATCTACTGGCTTTAAGCTTCCATGATTTACCTTATCAATTGAAGTTGTGCTTTCTCTACTTGGGAAATTTTCCGGAAGACTCTGAAATAAGGATAAAGAGACTCATTCGATTGTGGGTGGCTGAAGGTTTCATACCACAAAATGAAGATATAATGGAAGAGGTGGCTATGAATAACTTGCTCAAGTTGATTAATAGAAGTTTGATTCAAATAGCTGAAATAAGTACGGGGAAGATTGTAACATGTCGAGTTCATGATCTTTTGCGCGATCTGGCCATTGAAAAGGCAAAAGAACTCAACTTTATTCACATCTATGACAGATCTGAAAATTCAGTGAGCTCCTCTGCAATTTCATCAAGTCGACGACAAGCTGTTTATTCTGGGAACTGGGAAAGATGCTTGTGGCTTCAGCAATCTAATTCAATCTTACGTTCTCTCTTGTTTTTCATTGTCCATGGAGAGCTATCTGCAATAACGAAGGAGTTAACAACAATATGTACAAAGTACACGTTACTGAGAGTGCTTGATCTCGAGAATTGGAGAATTGGAGGATCGAATTCAAGCAGCTTACCAAAAGAGATAGAAAAGTTGATACACTTGAAGTATTTGGGATTAAGAAACACAGCTATCCATCATCTTCCACCATCAATTGTCAACTTGATCAGACTACAAACTCTGGACTTACGCATGAGTACTACTCCGGAAAATCGGCATACTCAACTACCAACTGAAATTTGTAAGCTCAAAGAGTTGAGACATCTAACTGGAACCTTTTCAGGACATTTGCAGGTAGACAACTTGACAAAACTTCAAACTCTGAAGTCTGTAGAAGGTGACTTGTGGACTCGGATCAATCCAGAAAAGTTGGTTAATCTTCGAGAGCTGAGCATATCTAACTTCTATGCAGAACAGAGGGTGTTTACTTTTGATTCCATAGCCAAACTGAAAAGTCTTCGAAGCCTATCGGTAATACTTGCACGACCGGTGACACCATCTAAAATTTGTTTTTTTGGTTCTCTGCAACCACTCTCTCAGTGTCAACATCTCCAAGAGTTGAGCTTAAATGGGAGGATGGAGAGCGACTTACCAAGAAACTTGCATGAACTTTTGCCAAATCTCGAATGTTTATCGTTACGGAGTTCATATCTCAAAAATGACCCGATGCCTACATTAGAGAAGTTACAAAACCTCATGATTCTCCAACTGGGTTTCAGTTCTTGTTTTGTAAAGAAGATGATTTGCAGAGAAAACGGTTTTCCTCGGCTTGAAACTATGATTCTTCTCGTGGGAGCATTAGAGGAGTGGCAAGTGGAGGCCGGAGCTTTGCCTGTGCTAAGAGCCTTGAGTGTTGGAAAGAACTCCAAATTACTTGTCGAAAGACTGAGATCCATCCGTCTTCCAAGCCAAGCGGACTTTGACAGAGTTAATTTTATTTAACTTCGATTTCAGTTTGTGTTGTGTCTTTCTTCCATTTTTTATTTGAGCATTAACTTTTGTTTGATCTTTAATAAACTCCGCCGGTTAGATTGCTGGGTGGGTAAGTGAACTTTACTCCGCCAAACGTTCATTTCCTTGAAGCCAGTTAAAGTTGACTGTTCGCCTCAAAATATTCAATAAAGTTGACTTATATAACGCAAAAAGGTTCTTGTGTCTAACAGATCTAAAAAATGGCTTCCATAGCAACCCAACAAGCCTGTGTCTCTTTTCCATCATTTTCTGACAAAGCTCAATGGGTTCATGATGTGTTCATCAGCTTCAGAGGCAAAGATACAGGCAACATCTTTACAAGCCATTTGCACCATGCTTTGAGTGAGAAAGGTTTGAAAACATCCTTCACAGATGTTGATGATGAAGAGATTTCAGCTTCAGTTTTGGAAGCTATAGGGAAATCAAGAATTTCAATGGTTGTATTGTCGAAGAACTATGCGTACTCCAGAGTTTGTTTGGATGAATTGGTGAAGATCCTCGAGTGCAATGGGCAGATGGTTTGCCCTATTTTCTACGATGTGGAGCCATCAGAAGTGAGGAAACAAACTGGGAGTTTTGAGAAAGCTCTAGCACAACATGAAGAATCTTGTGGGGAAAATGCAGAGAAGGTTCAGAGATGGAAAGCAGCTCTTAAACACGTGGCTAATTTGTCTGGGTGGCATTTGGGTAATGAGTAAGTCTTTAACTTTCTCAACTGCTTCTGTTTTCTAATGTTTAATGTCAAACTCAGTATATAATTTCACATATTCTGTTCACTTGCGTAGCCTTTGGTTTGTGGAACTTTTTATTATTGAAAAGATACGATAGATTACCCATCATCATCAACGTTTTGATCATAAATAATTAATATGTTTTATTGAAATAAAATATTATTGAAGGGATTTTTATAATATTCGTTAGATTATCCATAAAGGTCTAATCAATCATGTGCTATTCCGACGATTATCGATGGCGATCGGCGGCTAGCGGCTGACAGTTGTCTTAGGTGGTTAGGGATATTTTGGGTATTATTCATGTAAAAAGTGAGGATATTTCTGTTAAAAAATTAATATATGAGATTATAGAAGTCATTTCGCATATTTGGGTTAATTGTTATTAACTTGACATATGAGGACATTTGTGTCCAAAATGTTTATTAATTAAAGGTAAAATTAGTATAAACAGTAGATTATCCCAATAATAGATAAATAACAACCTTTCAGATAGTAATTTAATTACATCATATAGTATCTACAGTAATCACTATTGGTATTAGTTGATTATTAGAATTTTTCATTACTTGACACTCAAACCTGACAATTGTCGAATTAAAAAATAGATTACCGATGTTATTTTTTATAACCCGAACCAAACGCTCACTTGATGTATTTTACAATTACCAGGCATGAAGCTAAATTCATTCAGAAAACTGTTGCAGAAGTCTTGACTAAACTGAAGGGAACTTCCTTATTAAGTGTTGCTGCATACCCTGTTGGAATAGATTCCCATTTGCAGGAGACTAATCTGCTGCTAACTTCTAAATCCAACGGTGTCTTGATGATCGGTATATCCGGAATCTGCGGAATAGGTAAGACGACAATTGCAAAAGCTATTTATAACAATTTAGCTCATCAATTTGAAGGTAGTAGCTTTCTCACAAGTGTTAGAGAAATCTCAAAGCAACCTCAGGGCTTACTTCAACTTCAAGAAATACTTCTTTTCGAGATTCTGGGAGATAAACAGATTAAGCTGTTTGATACTGACAGAGGAATCGATGTGATACAACGTTGGCTTGGCTGCAAAAGGGTTCTTCTAGTTCTTGATGATGTTGATCAAAGAGAACAATTAGAAGCGTTAGCCAGAGAGTGCGATTGGTTCGGTGAAGGAAGCAGAATTATTATAACCAGTAGAGATGAAAGTTTGCTTGTTGATCATGGAGTGGAAAGCGTTTACAATGGAAAGGAATTGAATTTCAATTATGCAATCCAGCTTTTCAGCTGGTATGCATTTAAGAAGCCTTGTCCTGAAGAAGGTTATGAAGAGCTTGCATACAGAGCAGTTAACAATGCTAAAGGCAGTCCATCAGCTCTCAAATTGTTGGGTTCTAAACTTCATGGTCGAAGCATTTCTCAATGGAAAAGTGAATTAGATAAACTGGAAAGATTTCGCAACAAATAAATAATCCGAGATACTCCAAAAAATTTCAGTGACTGGGATGACCAAGTTTGAAGATGTAATGTCACGGCATCAAGCAAATTGTAGAAGAGAAATGAGGTTAAAATTTTGTTGACAATTGATTTCCTCTGAATTATGGTACCTATTTTATTTGATTCAATAGTTGTAACAGAATTTTTCAAGTTTTAAAAGAAAAAATACTGCTAACATTTTGCAATAAATTTGACGAAATAAAATACAACCACTGCATCGTAAATATTTAAACTCAAAACTGTAATTAGTAAGAAAATGATACACCAAAAGATGGGTCATTTTATAGGAGTAGTTGATAAGGATACTCCAACATCAGTCCCATTAAGAAAAAGAAGAAATGAAGTGAACAAGGCATTATACATTAAGAATATAATACATACATATATAATTTTTTGTCGAACGGGATGACCAAATACCTCCTTTCCATCTGTACATGGCCCCTGCAAAGAGATGCATACCAAAACGATTATTACTAGCGGTTACTAGTAGAAGATGAAGGATATATGTTCCAGCCATCGATGGCAAAGAAGATGCTGAGCAGCCCAAGTAATGCCCAAATGTCATAAAACTTATACTAAAAAGTACCTTTGACAATCTAGTAATGTGCTAACAAAGCCTTGCCTGAACTGATGCCAAATCTGAAACTTTCTTGATGCTGCACGTAGCCGGGTAGAACATAATGAGATAGGTGACATAAAAGAAGTACCAATGATGATGTCTTATAGTTCATTTTTCATGCATAAACATGACCTAATATCGTAAACTCACTTGTACATGATATCTCCACCAGGTGCCTGCTTCCTGCAAATCCAATCTGGAACCATTTTTTCAAGATGCTCAATCTGATCTTCAACCTCTCCTGCAAAGAAGAAAAAACCAATTCATTAACTACCAAGTCATAAGAGTATGATTTAAAGCATGAACTACTAGGACAACTCAATTAATACATACTTCTCTCAATGATATCCAAATTATTCATAATTATCTTGTGTACAAGTTCCTGTTTTGTGATTGAAGCACGGTTGACTGACTGAAAGATCTGGTGAATCACAGCAACCAGGTCAGCCAGACAAACAGATATTTGCTGGTCTACTGCTAAACCTGTTTGACTCATTTTGCAATCCCCAACTTCGCCAAGGCTCCCCTTTACCTGCAAGAGTGAACTCTGGATCAATAGTACATCACTAAAATGACAAAAAGTACAAGAAATTTGAGTCACTCATTACAACCACTAGGACGTAAAACAAACTGGCAGCGCAAATACGGAATATATGCATGCCTCACATTTTGGATCAAAATATGATATGATAAAACAACATAAAATAAGCATCTTTAGTTATTAATATATATATACATGGATTCTGCAGAGCTTTTTCCCTGAGAACTGGCACCTCATTACTAAGTTTTCCAAAAATAAACCAATAAAGTGTAATGCCACATAGAGATTTTTCAAAACAACTCAGCCACTCACCATATCATCCATTCATTATATTTTGGGGTTCTATTAAAAGAACCTCAACTCTATAGCATGACACTGTTACCGTTTCATTATAATTATAAAAGAAATCTGACTGAAAGAATAATCTAGAGCAAATTCAAGCATAGAAATGTCACTTATTTTTAGAAACATGCCACCACAAGCAAAACAGTACAAGCTGAAGAACAAGCCCACCTTTTCAAGTACTTCAGGAGAACCAACGACACCCCCTTCCTCAATAAATTCTTTTGTTTCTACTTCTAGAGCCTTAGGGATGTCATAATCTGAATCATTGTAGTTGTATGTTGACACCCCAGCAGAGTCCAGTACACTTTCCTCCCCTTCTAAATATGAAAAGTCTAAAGACCTTTTTGCAGGCTTATAATGAGATTTGCAATTTTGGGTGGTCATAGCCTTAAGCTTGTCATTACAACTGGGCATTGATCTCTTCGGAGTCACCTGTGCAGGCGTTTCTATGAGCAAACTATCAGCAGGCAAGGCAAGCTTTTGCTGTGGGCTGTCACAAGCATCAGAAGTAACTGAGCACTGAGGACTTATCAGCCGGAAAGGAGGATTAACAATTGAGGATTTGGAACATGTAAAAGGCAACTTCATCTGTTGATTGCTTTTTTCATTAGTCTGATGATCAACAGGGCACTCTTCTGATTGCCAAGTTCTAACAAATTGATTATTCAGATAATCTGATGTGGTGGAAGACAGAAACGCTGAAGCAACACTTTTCCTAGAGAAATGTCTGCAGAAAGATGGATGTAGAAGACATGACATTGACAACATCTCAGTCTCAATAGAACTAGGCAGAGATCCTAAAGAATCAACAGGGAACTGCTCAAGAGCAGTTGTCTGACTTTGTTCACATATAGACTCAAGTTCCTCTGGAACTTCAGCAACCTTGTTCTCCAAAGAAGCCAGACTTCTTCGGCCAAATGGCTCTGGCAATATAGTCTCTGGAATGTCATCAGCCTAGTACCCAGAAACAAACAAAAAAAAAATGAGTTCAACTCTTGCAAACGCTGTGGTTAATCTAATCAAAAACATGGATGCAGAGAACCAGGCCTGTCCAAACATCAAACTAAAAATAAAATATGGAGAGATGCGGTGAGTTATGAATAACAATCAGCAGTCTCCTAGATGGCACCACAACCCAAGGTAGCCAAGTCATCCACGTCTTGTTTTGTATATTAACATTTACCAAAAAAGTAATTAATACTGGCCAACTAAAAAGTCTCCCAAGATGATGCACAAAATTGTCTAGCCTTTCAATTTGTGATCAGAGCCGAGTAATTTAAACATAGGCTAGAAAACATTAATCTAGCTACTCAATTTTTCACTACACACTATCAATTGCAAACCGGAGTTCTCATATGTGCAGCTCTTGATACAAGACAACAACAAAAACGCTGTCATAGGGAAGAAGTACCTCAGGATGCGCACTAAAATAATTCAAAAGCCTAGAAGCAAAAACTTGATGCAGGGCTATAAAATCTGAGTGTTCAGAGTGGCCTTCTATGACATCAAATAGCAACGAAATTTTCATATCTGGCTTCATGCACAAGGTTTTCTTGTCATGCACAAGGATATTATCGACTTGTATGGCTTCAGGAAGTATGTACTTTATCTGTGCAAGATGCTTCAATGAGATCTTTCTGAAAAGAACAACATGTTCAACAATTAGTCATAGAATGCATAAATTTAAGATCTATGTTTAATTAAGGAAAATTGGAAATGTTCTAGCTACCTTTTTGTTAATACTTCCACCTGAGTCGAAATATTTTGAAAAGTTGGAGATTTTTTGCGCAGGCTAAGCAACCTCAATGAACAAGTCATAGAATCGAAGATCTCTACCAGTGCATTATATCTGAAAACAAAGAAACACGCCTATCATCAGGTTCAAACAAGAATATTTTTACAAGATGGAAGGAAAGCATCATTGAGATAACCCACTTTTCTAGATGTTTAATTCCGTCCTCTTTGACCTTAGTACGTGAAGGCTCACTTGTTTTCTCTGGTGTCGGAGCTGCAATCTTCATTTCAAAATTCTGGCTTCCAGCATTTCCTTGTTTTTGCACAAGGGCACCTTTCTCTTCTCCATTTATAATTTTTTCACACTTAAAACCCAACACATTCTGATCACTCTCCTCAAATTTCCTTTGATCCATGCTTCAGTAATTCACACAACAAACAACCACACAACTGCGAAACTCTTGAATCTGGAAATTTAAAATATATAAAAAAAAATAACACGAAATCACCCTTCTTCCCAAAAAAAAAAAAAAAGAAAAAAAAAAAAAGGAAGAAAACCTTAAATCAATCAAGAAGAAAAAGAAAGAAACTAATACAGATTAATGTATTTCAGTTCATGCGTTGTTATCCAATACATAGACGGGTCATTCATTACGACATAATTTTTCACAATTTGTCAATATGTCCCCTTCAATAAGCTGTATAAAGTAATAGAAGTGAGAATACTCTCCAATTTGTACATTAATTTTTCAAGATTTCTAATTTAATAACCTGTTGACACACAAACATCGATCAATGTTTCAAACAGATTTCACGACCTAAATTTGTCTCACTTTGGTGAATCAGATTAGAAAAAAGTAAAGTGTTTCGTGAGAGAATTGAATGATATGAATGAAAAAAGAATTATTAAAAGAGAAGAAACCTGAGATTGTAGTCGGATTGATTTGATTCACGAAACCCTAATCAGTGACTGAGTGAGTGTGGAGGGAAAGTAAGGAAACAACTGTGCCTTCAAATAATAATAATTAATAATAAAATAAATGTGAGATACGTAAAGACGGTATTGCCCTTGCTGATGTGAAAATTCGCGCACTCCCCTTTTTTGCTTCTTCCACTCCTGATTTTTGACCGTTGAGCCTGATGTTTATCATTTCAAATTTTAGACCCTTTGTATTAATCACCCTCCGTGATGGGAATGGTTAAATAAAGATTCTTTGTGTATTATTTAAAAGATCTTAAGTATAAGTCATCTTGATTTTTAATAGAGATTACCACTAAAGGGTATATCTAATCCTTAATTTTAGAGTCTCGAGAGATTAGTCGAAAAAGTCCTCTAATCAGAATAGTTGAGATACGCGCAAGCTAATATAAAAATCCTTTAAAAAAAAAAATCGAGAGATTAGTCAATATGCTTCATACTGGCCTAGAAATCTCCCCAGGGCTTAGAAAAAAAACTAGTTGTACTTTTAAAGATAAAATTGAAAAAAAAAAAAAAAGTTGTACTTTTATTGATAAATTAATAATATTAAATGTATACATATTACGTTGTCATCTTTATTGAAGAAAAAAAAGTCTTAAATAGTTTAAATTATTTTGTGTTTTAAGTTAAATCAAATTAATAATAACATAAACATGAAATTACATATTTTGGTTTTTTCCAACACTTCTGTGGCATGAACTATTGAGTTCATAAACTATAGGAAAAAATATAAAATACCACAAATGTGTTACGTCATACATGGTACAATTGAATCTGATTTCGTTATATTTCAAGTTTTTACTTTTTCTTTTTTTCCTTTTTTTTGTCATCTATCTTTATATGTCGAAAATGTATATGGTATGTATGTATTGGTTTGTGGTACCATTAATACGGTACCAAAGTACAACTAATAGAAATTCTCGAAATTTTAGCTACTATCACTCTACTTGCACTAATTTAAGACGTTGAACTACAGCTACTTTCACTAATATACTAGGCTGATAACTCATGTTAATTTGCTTGTTTCAATCTCCAAATAAACTAACTTCTTAACTACTATAACTTGTTTCTATTTGTAGCTTCACTCACTTGTAAAATCTCCCACTATTTTATTACTTTGTTTCTATTTGTAGGTTGATAACGAACCAAACCAAACCAAACTACCTGCATTTTTTTTAGCCGGGAAGATGACTCACACCGTTGGTAAAGATATGATCTATTACACAGTCACAAATTCTAATGACGACCCACTAAACCCTATACCTGGAACCCTGAGATACGAAGCCACTATAATCTCTAGAAAGGTATGGATCATTTTTCAAAGGCACATGAATATCAAACTTAAAAAACCACTTCTCATTAGTAGTTTTACCACCATTGATGCTCGCGGTTCACACATTCATATCTCAGGCGCTGCATGTCTCTTGATCTATGAGGTAATTAACCAATAACACTTTTTCTTCATTTTTTATGCCTCTTCAAACTTATTTCAACAGTTGAACTAGTAATTACTGTGCAAGTGAATATACAATCATACAATGACTTAACTGATGAATTTTCTTCATCGGGCAAGCAATGTGATCACTCACGGGTTGTATATCCACCATTGCCAATCTGGAGGGTCAGGCTCTGTGATTGGTCCAAACTCAAAGATTGTGAAGTTGGGAGCAATAGACAAGATGGAATCAGGCTGGTTACAGCATCAAAGGTTTGGATCGATCACAATACATTATATTAATGTCAAGGTGGTCTGATTGATGTCACCCGAGGCTCCATCGATGTTACAATCTCCAACAACTAGTTCAAAAACCAAGACAAAGTTATGCTTCTCGGGCACAATGATAAGTACTATATTATTCAACCATTTTGGACCTAACTGTAACCAACGAATGCCAAGGTGATTACTTATCAAATTTTAGAACGTGATTAATTCTTTTTTGTTTTCCAATTTTTAGCCTGAGATTGAACTTTAACATGAAAAATAATGCAGGGCTCGCTATGGATTCACTCATGTAGCTAATAATTTGTGCTAAGATTGGACAAGCTATGCTATTAGGGGAAGCATGAACCCTAAAATCGAGAGCGAAGCCTACTAGTTTATCGCACATAAATCAAGGAAGAAGAAGATAATTTCGATAACTCATATAACTCTATGTTACTAAGGTAATGTTCCTTTATAGTTTATGTTTCATGACTCTAATTTGATTGAAATACTATAACGTTGCGTTATAACATTCTTGGTCTCGATATAATAATTATATTCATTGACGATTAACTTAAACAGGTGACATGGAAGTTAGGAAGCTCATCGAAACTTTATTCAGTCGAGAATGTCTTTGAAAACGATGCTTCTTTTGAAGCAACAGGTTTTGGAATTATACAATCAAATTACAACGATGAACGAAGATTTCAAGTTGCAAACTAGGGTTGCAAACAAACTGAACACGAACAAACACCCTCATTCGAAAATCATTCGATAAGTGTAATAGGTTGTTTAAGATCGTGTTCGAACTCGAAGGAACACAGAATCACCATTCGAAATCATTCAATTAACAAAACGAGTTGTTCGAAATAATGTTCAAAATCGATCGATTAAGCATTCGAATAACTTTGGATTTGAATACCTGTTCGAATAAAAAGTATACACCAACTTTCCAATTCATGCTCTAAAAAAAAAATATACAACAAATTTTTAATTCATAGTTTGCGCCTCTGGAGTCGGTCACAAAAGGGAAATTAGAATAGGGTTTTGGATTTTTGTTTTAAAATGTTGGCTGGGCTGGGTTAATTGATTAGTTTTATCATTATTATTATTATTATTATTATTATTATTATATAATGTGTCATTGTGTATATATTAAATTATTATCATATATATATTAATCATAGATTAAATATGTTTAATATATTATTAAATCATCAAAATAATATATTATCATGTACATATTATCATTACATAAATTATCAAATATATTTTAAATGTCTACATATATATTCTGTATCAATACTCATAAATTCATAGTGAAACGGGAGTTTATTATAATATATGATCCATATATATTACAATTTGCAATATAGTTTTATATTCTATTAGATTACGTATTATATAATAGAACGAGGGTCTATTATAAATTTGCAATCATATATATATATATATATATATATATATATATCTTGGGTTTAATTAAGCGATTATATTATTAAATTTGTCATGTTATATATCACTTGAATATACAATATGTTATGTTCATCAACTTGCCATAATATATCTATTATTTATTAATTGAAATGTTATATTATAATATTTAATTATTGATTACATTTGGAAAAATATGAAACTATTATGTTATTAAATTTGCTATATTATATATCGCTTGATTATACAATCTATTATATTATTAAATTTTTCATACTATATATCATAATAATTTATTATTTATTAATTGAAATGCTTATAATTATATAGCAAATTATTGATTACATTTAAAAAAAAAAAAAAAATCATCCAAACATATATATGTATATATATAAAGCATTATAATATTTTATTATTGATTCCTTTAAAAAAAAAAAAATTCATCCAAACTAGACCAAATATAGTATAAAAAAGAAAATTATGAAAAATATAAATATGATATTAATACAACTCGAACTAAAAACCTTAAAGTCAAAAGAATTGCATTTTTAATGCTAAGATATAGAAAATCATTAATAAACTTAACACCATATAAATATATATAATAATGTATACTAATGTTTTCAAACATAACCGGATGAAAAATCGAACGAAGGAGTGTCGCAAACAGACGGATCATTCAAACGAAGTTATGTTTGCGAGCATAATCAAACAAACACCCTTTGTTTGAACTTGAATCGAATACCTTATCAAACTTGAACTCAAACCATTTGTTATCTAGTCGAACAAACTGTTATCGAACTGTCCACGACAGATCAATTCATTTGCAGCCCTAGTACATGCAAATGCAAATTCTATGTGGTCATTAACAGAGACATCAAGTGTTTTAGTACGTTCGTGGGCATTTACATGCTAAGTTGATCACCGGCAGATTTTAAAGGAAAGATCGAGTTATATTTATACTGTACAAATTAAATTCATTTGTCTCTTTACAACATAATTCATCAACTAGTTTTCTGTTGTTATACAGAGAATTGTTGTACTATATGTGCAGTTACATATTACGCAGCCATTTGTTCTAAACACATATATACCTTTTTACATTCGGACTCCCATATGCAAAGCTTATCAAGCTATTAATTACCAAGATTATATTCGGCAAATGAAAGAAATTATAGAATTCCCTTCATTACCTAAGGATGTCTGTATCATATTGTCTTAAATTGGGGTCACATAATAAAGGGCATAACCCCAAAAAACAATCCCATTAAATAATGCAGCTTCCTAACTATGGAGGATGAAAAACCCGAAAAACTCTTTTATATAATATTTTTTATACAATTTCACCCAAGATCCTCTCATATCAAATGTTAACACATCCACCCAAATTTACCTTGGCTCTTGGTTCTTTCACATTCCAATCTTAAAATCAGGAAATTGAATAATTCGGCAGGGTTTCAAGGTATCCAGGAAATACATTTGATTTGGCAAGTTTGTAGTATTGACTACATAAACAATTTGTCAATTGAATTGTCATCCACGAAAACAGAACATATCAAACCAATTTCCCTGCGTTGGAAACAAGATGACAATATTGAATACTCAATTCTCAACATTAAACGTCAAGATTGCCAAAGTAAAAGTGCAAACTGTCATGGGAACCTTCCCACTCATCCATTTATTTCATTCCACATGGGTCAGGGGTAGTGACTTTCAGGCCTTAAGGGCTTCCCCGGCTTTGACAAGGTCTTCGAGCACCTTCGAGATCTGTGCCTCACTCAAACCTTCCAACCGAATGCCCTTCTCAACACCAAAATCTGTATAGATAATAAAGCGTCACATAGATGCGATGACAACAGAAAATTCAAGTCAAAAGCACAAGGCTAAAGTGGCAAGGGAAAGAAAAATAATAATAAAAAGTGCGCTGCTCCTGTAATGCATACAACAGTCATTGAGTATAGCACAACATATAAGCAAACCAGGAATTTCAATACTCAACAAGCATTGAGGTCTAAATTTAAAATGTGGCAATGTTAATCCAGAACCCCCCCAAATAAAACCCAAGTATAATAATCTTCACGTTTAATCCATGGAAAGAGGACGAAGTCTCTTTGTCTACCAGGGTGTTTGCCGCATTGTGTCTTAAATTAGGGTTAAATTAGAAAGGGCCACTTCTAAGAATTGTTGAAGGAACCCCCACACTTTTGCTCTTAGCATATATTGGAAAAAAATAATAAAGTTCTGTCCCACCCACAAAAAAAAAAAAAATTAATAAAGGAAAAAAGCATTTAACAGACAGCAAGACTCAGACCCTGGAGCTGAAAAAAAACTGACTTCACAATATATGAGACACCAACTGAATTCAGCACAAGAAATTGTATTGCAAGAGAAAGTAAAGGTCCGACCTCAAAAGAAAACCAACTTGGATAAGCACAAATTTCTCATTTTTTATAAAAACAAGGAAATGTGTAGAATATGAAAATATTGGTTTATATGAGTGGAAATCTAGAGGGCAAACAAGTTCTCCTCACGAAAACCTCAAAGATACAATTAAAAGGTTTGTGAATTCAAAACAAAAAGAAGGAGCTTCTTATTAGGAAAAAATAAAAAATAAATAAAAAAAAAAACGAAAGCAAGAAGCTCCTAACATAACCCCGAAAACAAACCCAAGAATAACAACCAAAAAATTAAACTTGTGCTGATCAGAACAATGAAGCTTCCTAATTATGGAGGACGAAAACAAGCAGAACTTTCTCTACTTCGGAAAACTAGAAGCCTAAAATTTTACCTTATCCTGTACCATTAAGACCTTCTCTTCACCAAAATATAAGAATTTCTTCTATTTCTCTCGTTCCATATCACCCACAAGATGCAATTCGCCACCCAAAGCACTAAAAGCTTTTTTCTAGACTTTTCAACCAGTAAAGCAGAAGTGGATTGAGGCACCACCGAAGAAATCTCAAGAGCTAAAATATTGTAAATTCAAGATGCAAACACTAGGGAAAGCAAGAAGATGGACATTATTGCAGATAACCATTAGGGTTAAGAAATATAAACGATCTCCAAACCCTAAATGCAAAGCTTAGTCTAACAAGGCAAGGCTACAGATTTGACAGGAAAAGGATGGTTTAGTCCTGTAGCTTTATTTAGTCACCTTAACATCAAGAAATTTATGTGTCTTGAGTATGAGTGTGTTCTACATATGTACTCGAATTTCTTTTTCTCTCATCACTAATACTCTTTTGAGAAATTTTTCTGAGTTAAATCAATTTCACGACTGAAAGTAGGGAACTCTGATTCTTTTATAACGTGGACTCATTTATATAATATTCTCTAATCACTAGGGTTACAGTTAAATGCTTAATGAGTTGTAAGAAAATGAATAGAGAAGGCACTCGTGCAATAGCAAGAATCACACTAATTACTAATCACTTTGTCAAATTGAGATACAAAAACATAAAGAATGATAATAAATCTAAAGTCTATTGTTTTGTTTTCATAAAGCAACCACATTTCAACTCTATCAAATTTAAAGAACTAAACTTCAACTTAAAAATCCACGACCACCACCTCCAGCTCGGTTCTCACCTAAATCCAAACTATAAATTAACAAAAAATAACAATATCGCAAAAAATAACACAGAACAAAACCCATAATTTTTGTTTTTCAAAAGTCATACTAAATTTGAAGAACATAAAGATAAAAAAAATCGTCATAACAAGGCAATTTTCAGGCGAAAGAAGAGAGTAACAGTACCGTATCTAGCCCATAACTGGGGCTCAATGCCACTGCATTCACGGATCAAGATTGGGAGTTTAGGGTTTAAAGTCTTGAGATCCTTATAGTTCTTCTCTACAAATGATCTACAATAAGAACAAATTTCTGTAAGTTTAAATTGTTTCTGGTTAATTAACAGGTAGTCCAACAAAATTAGATAATGTTTGCGAAACCCTCATTGTTAAATAAAAAGCAAACAAACAAATGAATAAATACCTAGTGGCGGAGCTCGACGGCGAAGTCTGGCACAGTAAGATCCTCAGTTCCTTCATAGCCCGAGATAGATTTCCTCTCCATGCCATCTCTCTCTTTGCTGTTTGATCGCACTCGATGAGACTATGTTAAGAAGGATTCAACCCATTTCTTTCTCGGTTTTAGAAATCTAATGGGTGGAAAAAAGAAGGGGTTTTTGTTATGGTCCTCAATGTTTGGAGTGTTTCTATTTAGTCCTAACATTTGAAAAAATAACAGTTTAGGCATGGGAGGTCGAAGACTTAACAACAATTGAAAAGACTTGTTAACCAGAGCCGAACGCTTACTAATTATAAAAAATAAAAATAAAAGTTTAAGAATAATACTCCCCATACATCATTCTCATACAACATTTCTCATACAATATTATGTGGCAAGATATGATTAGGTGAAAGTTTAATTTTAACTTTAAATTAATCAATCATATTATGTCACATAATATTGTATGAGAAATATTATATGAAAATTATGTATGCGTAGTATTACTCAAAGTTTAATTAGGATGAGTTGTCTTTCTTTCCATTTATAAATTGGAGACCTAACTAATTTCTATCTCTACTTAATCACATAACAACTTGACACATTCAATATTGTCACACACTACTTAACCCTTTTTTAGAAACTTGACATTTGAAATAGGAAATTCATAATCGGCCTAAGGTGAGACCCTCCTTTAACCTTGTAACTCGTGATTACTTTATCCTCTTCTCATGTACCAAAATCCGATGAAGATATAGGAATCTCATCAAACGGACAAGAATTTAAATCTATTTTGATATCAATATTGACGGGTCAAATACTTAACTACTATGCCCTATATGTTGCATATTCGCACTTAAAATTTTGATATTCTTTTTTTCTTTGTAATATCTAAGGTATTCAAACTCACATTGGAGTCTGTCTAATTCTTAGATACTTAATAAAAAAAAAACCAACTGATATTGAACCTTTTCTACCCAATGTAGCATTGGAACACCTCTTCTCAATCTCAATTTTACAAATATAATGGGGGTTTTCTTTGGGTCTTTATTATGTCCTTTAAGTCCTAGCATTTTAAAAAATAACAGTTTAGTCCAATTTGATAATGGATCTTAGTTTTACAAATCAAATGGCGAGAAAAAAAATTCACTTGGAATCGGCTCAGGAGGTGAAAGCATACCCGTTTGGTTGTATTAATCAAATAATAATGTTACATATTATTTATTTACTATAAACCATAACAACAATATTGCTATATTGGAATCATTTATGGGCCCATTATATGAAATGTATATTGGACCATTGAGGCCCATTATGTCCAAGACTCTGAATTGAGAGAATGTACTCAGAAGGTGAAGCAGATAGAATACCAAGTAAAAAACTTCTCTCATTCTCTCACGAGTCGTATATAGATCAAATACCATCTCCATCAGGCTTTTCCTTATCAAATCAAGCTCTATTATTTTAAAGAAACTACTAGAGACATTTTTCATCTTTTGGAAAATTATATCGTTATGGTTACAAAGAATCACAAGAAGATATAAATCTGACACAAGTCCAAAAAAAGACAATTCCAGTGATTAAAATGATGATTTTTATTTTATATCAACAAGAAGTAATGAAAGTGAAATATATCAAATAAAATAAAATAAAAAATATCAAATACTCTTGTTAATGACCAAGATAGATACAGTGAGGGTTCGATAGTTTTTGTTATTTTAAAATCCAATATTCATTAGCCGGTGTAAATAAATCTTAGAATACAAAATTTTATAGTTTTTTATACAAAAATTTGGCCAAATTTTTGTCTTTTATCATTAGTTAACACCAATGAACAAGGATTCTATCTTTTTTTTTTTTTAAATGTAAATATTGGTAAAAGAGATGGATATGTATGAATATACTAGTTGATTATGTTAGTAGAGGGAACAATTTGTTATACGTATGTTCTATTTTGGAAGTTTTTTCTCTTAACATTAGTCTTGAGGGGTAGATTACTTTAGTAGGAGTTGTATAAATAATTAAGAATATGAAAGACTCTACTCTAATATGGAACAGGATGATTGAGGCAATTTAATTTCTATAATTTTATTTTATGATATGAATGAATAAAATCATACATGTAACACAATACTACATGTTTGAAACATGAAATAATAATTTTTTTAAAGGATCTTCATCTTGTAATATAAATTTTTGACTTAAAATTATCAAAAAATTTAACATTTGATTTCGATTCATGCTCAATGTTGCCCAACATGAAATCAATATCAAACTTTTAAGTATTTCCACACCTTACAGAAACTATTCTCTCAAATAATCCTATCTTATCAATATTCTTATTTAGAATCCTAAATAAATGAAGTGTTTAAAATTTTGTTGAGTAGTATTAAAAACTCCTAATAACATTTCATGTCCAATAAATTACATAAAATTAAAAATTAAAAAGTCGTGTTACAATAATTTCACCCATTATCCAATCAAAAAGTTATATGCGTTTATTTATATTACTCTAACTATATTATTAAAAAAAATTATTTAAACATTACTAAATTGTTAGTTAAGGGTATGTTTGGTAAGCGATACACCATAGCAATAAATACACTGCATAATATTAAATATACAATACAGTGTTTGATTACAAAAGAGTATAGTATATTTATTTTTTTTCTTCTATTTATTAGAGAACAGGAATAATACAATACAATGTTTTATCAAATATCACACAATATTTTGTACAACATTATAAAACATAGTGCAATACTATAGTATGTAATTTGCTTAATGATATGATATGTCGCGTGCGCCAAAACATGCCCTAACATGAATACATGATAAGAATGGATTACTAAACAAATTTAATCAAAATAACCAATCAAAAAATAACGGCAATGGGTATTGGCTACAGTTCTAACATTTTGCTAAAAGGTAAACATTTTAATATGAATAAGAAATTTTTTTCCACCCAAATATTAACTTAATAACACATTCTCATTCATAGACTTTTAAAATACTATTTTATTATCTAAACTTATATTTTGTTTCTAATTACAGCATTGTTGCGACCTCACACTACTACTATTCTCTTCTCTGATCGTCACTCATTAAAACCCCTCAAACCTTACTCCCATCGATCCCGCCAATCGCCGGCAATCAAATAATTAAGGTTTACACAACCGCCCCTCCTGAGTCAAATTTCGATGAATCTCAACCACCAAAATCCAACATTCTACCACCAAAAGACTCATAGGCCTCCCCTTTTCAAAAGCTCTAATAGTATAGACCGAGTTTCACCAAAATATAAATTTAGATAGTAAAATAGTATTTTTAAAAGTCTATAAGGGGAAAAAATGTCTTTAAACCATTATTTGGGTAAGAAAAAATCATTATTTGGATGAAAAAAAATGTGTTAACTCATTTTAATATTTGGTAATGGATTGAGATTGACGTAACCTTAATATTAGAAATATTGCCATTTGCATATAACCACAGAATCAAGTGCATAAATTAATTCCTCGCAATAATAGATTACTTATTCTAAAATATATTCCAAAAATTGCATCTCAATGATGCGATGTCGTTTATGACATTGTCGTGTCATTTAACATATTATTAATTTAACATCATCATTTATAATGTAATTTTTTTAATATATGATTCTAATTAAATAATAGCACAGATAATTACCCAACAACTACATAGTATTTAAAAAGGAGCATTGAACAAGTTGCTATTTAAAGGGGATCTTATCGGTCATTCAAACACCACAACTTAAATCGTCAACGCTCAAATCCTTTGTTATTTAATCTTCCAAAGAAGTATGATTGATGCTCTAGCCTCATTTGTGATTGAGAGGCTTGGAGGATTCTTCATCTTTTTTTAGATCTCTCACCTCCATTGAAGGCTTCAAGTGTTGTTTGACTTCAAAAGGTATTTTTTTTCTACTAAACTTTGTCATATTCATCCTTATTCATATTTGTCATGTTTTTGTTCATGTATTCATCAAGTTTAGCCCAAATAGCATAGAATCTTTCAGAATCTGGTTGTTGTCATATCTATTTCAACGTCCACAGCCATTGATGTATTGGCTGGGTTATTATCTACGAAGGAGCCAAATGAGTGGTCTTCAGTAAGTGACCACATATGGAAACATTTAACAAATGATTCCATTGAAATCTCAAACTTATTGGCTTTAAGTTTTGATGATTTACCTTCTGAATTGAAGGTGTGCTTCCTGTACCTCAGCCAATTTCCAGAAGATCATGAAATCAAAGCGAAGAAAATAATTCGACTGTGGGTGGCTGAAGGTCTCGTCTCACAAAAGGAAGAAACAATGGAAGATCAGGCTGAGGAAAACTTGAATAAGTTGATTAACAGAAGTCTGATTCAAATAGGTCAAGCAAGTCGAGGGAGGATAAAAACATGTCGAGTCCATGATCTTTTACGGGATCTAGCAATTCGGAAGGCAGAAGAGCTCAAGTTTGTATGCATTAACGATGAAGCCAAATTTTCAACACAATCCTCAAAATCATTTCGGCGACAAGCTTTTAATCTTGGGATAAAGACGGACATTGTGCTTCAAAATTGTAATCCACTCTGTCGTTCTCTTTTGTTGTTCAATCATCTCTCTTTACGGGTTCCCACTCTTTTCGAAGCCTTAGTTTTAAATGTTTGCAGAATGTTGAGAGTAGTAAAAGTGCTCGATATTGAGAATTGCATAAATCAAGAATCAGAGAGTTTACCTGAAGAGATAGGAAAGTTGATTCACTTGAAGTATTTGGGATTAGGAAATGCATCTGTTATTCGTCTTCCACCTTCCATCGGCAAGTTGTCAAGCCTACAAACTCTGGACTTACAATCAAATCCTGGTTCTGCTACCAATTTTCAACTACCCACTGACATAGGTAAGCTGACAGAGTTAGAGTTGACATAGGTAACCACATAGCAAAACAACAAATCTTGAATTTGTTGTGTTGTTCATGTGTTGTGAAGTGGGTGAATAAATCAGCCAACAGCTTAGGTGTTTGAGACTGAGAATAAAACTCCAAATTCACAAATCCAGAAAGATTATGAAATTACAAGATGAAGTGGAACTCTACATAACTAACTACTTTCATTTGTTCTTGTAATTTGAGAAGCGGAGTTTTCTTTATAAACACTTAATCCGCATTCCTAACTAACTATCAATTAATATATTTAAATTTTAGTTATTATTAATCTAAACAACGGTTTATTACTAAAATATATTTACTATAAACCAAATTAATATTGTGTTATCAAGATATTTAAGAAGTATTGTAACCCTAACAACAACATTGATACCCACTCTGTATATTCGAATCATTTATGGATCTATTCTATCAAATGTAAAATTGGATCATTTAGGCCCATTATGCCCACTAAAGAGCATAAGTATTTTCTTCTTTCATTTGCACACAAAGAGGTATAGAATGGATCATCAAACACTATCTCCATCATGCTTTTACTTATCAAATCACGATTATAGAGCTGTCACATAGAGACATTTTTCATCTTTCAAGATCGTTCGGAAATTATATCAAATGATTACGAGGAATTAAATCAAACACAAGTCCCAAAAAAGACAATTCCAGTAACTTAAACAATGTTTTTCATGATATATCAATATATACAATAAGAAGTAATAAAAGTGAAATATACAAAAATCAAATTAGATATATATCATATTAGGTTGATTTCTGATAGCTGTTGAGAGAGAAAAGATTTTCTTATTACAGTTATAAATACAATCATAAAACATCACATTTGTTATTCGATTTATATAAAAAAAAAACTGTCTCATTAATTAAGAGGGTAACGTTACCTTCCATCTCACTGATTCTCTTACCTTCCAAGTACGTGGTACAGCTCTCACACGTGGTACATTTCACCTTTCACCTAAAAATATTGGGTCTGATCCCCAATCAAACTATCACTTTTTATTGATCTCAATTCTGAAATGCATGAACAAAGAAGGCCATGCATCATGTTAAATGTTATTAAAGGCAAAAGGAGTCGTGGCAGGGACCAAATAGTTGGTCCAGCTCCATGATTGGGGACACCTTGCACATTTTTAGCCATTTAACGTGGTCAGACGGCTGATCTCAATCCCATCTCCCTAACTGTAAGGTAGCATGATTAGCATCACTGTCTCCTACGCGTGGCGCACATTCAATGGGACATTTAATCTTCCTTCATATATCTTTGGCGCCAAATAACGTTAACATTAACCCAATATGGCAATATCTTGTCACCTGCCTTTCAAGTTTTCTACATCTTTTCCACCTTACACGTGTCCCCCTCACATGATTTATATGCCATATAATTTCATTTTAGGATTATTTATTTCGTTTGCCTCCCTTAAATTCATATAATAATAAAGATATTTTTCCCATTTTTTATTATTTAATATTTTATCCTTCAACTATAAATTGAAATATTCCATACTAAAGCAATTTTATTAATCTTAATTCCCAATATGGCACGGATTTGTTTAAAATAAGATTTAACCATAAACCTACACGAATTTAACCTAATTACCTTTAATAAAAAATTGAAACACAAAAATAATTGACATGCGGTAAAATATTAAGTCTAACACCATTTAGCATAGTTTAACATTTTTTAATCAAATTATCAAACCATATTATTAAATCCTAGACTCATGAAGATTATCAAATCTAGTATAGTCTAGCATTATATTATATATTAGTAATATAACATTTATTAGTTCATTAAGGATATAATTGGCAAATCATTAGATTTTATGACTGGATTTATGCTTTTAATCAAACTTACACATTTTGGGAAACTGTTATTAATAATTGAATGTTGTAACAATTAATACAGAGTTGTAAAGAAAACACGAATTTCTTCAATGCACTCAGTTAGCAAATTTGTATCATATCTGATTATAATTAATAATTATTAAATGCAATTAGTACTTCTTACAGTACCACCTTTTACGAAATAAATAGTCTAAAATCTTGAATGCCTATCATTAGAGAATTGATATCTGAGAGTTGACCCGATGCCTGCATTAGAGCAGTTGTTGAACCTCGCATATCTCCACTTGGGATTCACTTCGTGTCATGGAAAGAAGATGATATTACATGATTGGCAAGCGGAGGAAAGGAGCTCTGCCTCTCCCATGACCAGAATTTTGATTATCTTCAGGTTTTGAGCCACATTTTTCATCCTCATTTTCCTGGAAATTTTTTGTGTTGTTTATGTTTGTGAAGCGGGTTAATAAATCAGCCAACAGCTTAGGTGTTTGAGAATGAGAATAAACTCCAAATTTACAAATCCAGAAATATTATAAAATTCTGAGATGAAGTGGAACTCTACACTACGTAAAACTCTAAAGAACTAACTACATCGAACTTTGACTTTCCTCTAATTTGTAATTTGAGAAGTGGAGTTTTCTTTATAAACACTTAATTTGCATTCCTATCTGTGGATGTGTGATTTTGACACCAATGATCTCGCATACGTAAAGTGTTAAACAAGTCTTTGAAATTACACGTGATATGATTATGGAGCTGAGATGATACATGTTTGTAAAAACATAAATAAAAGACTGACAAGTGGGATTTTTATAATAGTTTGAATGCTTAAAGAAAATCCTACATCTACTGTTATTTTATTATTCTCTGATATGTCTAGCCAACCTCTTTTTCATGAAGAGATGTGCCCATTTAAACACCTTTGAACTCAACGTAGTGAGCACTTTTGTAAGTTGCTTTGACATATGGAGAGCTCTCATTCATCTTGATCCTTTATTTTGATAAAGGTGGACAATTATTATACAATATCTTTTGAGACGGTTTGAGTTTTGACAACTAATACATTTTGTCTTTTAGGTTGTGCTGACATCAATGTGATTTTTTAAGCATAATACTAACTAACTATCAATTATTATATTTAAATTTATGTTGTTATTGATCGATTACTAAAATATATTTACTATTAACCAAATTAATATTGTGTTATATTAATTATCAAGTTATTTAAGAACTATAGTAACCCTGACAACAACATTGCTACATGATTGATACCCACTCTGTATATTCGAATCATTTATAGGCCCATTCTATCAAATGTAAAATTGGATCATTTAGGCCCATTATGCCCACTAAAGAGCATAAATATTTTCTTCTTTCTTTTTCTCACAAAGGAGTATATAATAGATCATCAAATACTATCTCCATCATGCTTCTACTTATCAAATCAATATCATAGAGGTGTCACATAGAGACATTTTTCATCTTTCAAGCTCGTTCGGAAATTATATCAAATGATTACGAGAATTACAAGAACAAATAAATCAAACACAAATCCCTAAAAAGACAATTCCAGTAACTAAAACAATGTTTTTATGATATATCATGAAAGTGAAATATATAAAATAAAATATACAAAAATCAAATTAGATATAGAGTAAAACCTCTTTATAGTCATAATAGTAGGGTTAACTAATTTTATTACTCTAAATAAGTTATAACTTAATAGAGGTGTAGTTACAAAAATTTCTTATTTAATAATTCATGTTTTAGTAGTACAATATTAGGATTTCAATTTATGTTTTAATAGTATTATGGTTTCAATTCAGCTCTTCAATTGCCTGCTTTTAAAACGGATAGAAGATTATGTCTTGTAACCAATAAAGATAACTGTCTTTAATGGAATTGTAAATGCAGTTACTGCATGGTCAATTGATGTAAAACCATAGACAACTATCAATTGTTTTAAGCATTACAAAATTAAGACCCTGATGTTGATGAATTACAAGTTACAATTGAAGTGGATGAGAAAAATCAAAGAGTCATTGTAGAATTGAGTGATCAGATTTGACAACTTCACTACATTAATCAAATAGATATTAATGTCTTTCTTAATCATCCAAATGAGTAACAAGTCATATATGCTTTAACAGAAGAATAAATCATTATTACAATTAGACAAGAAAAGAAAGAAAATAATTATGAGGATGATAGTATGGAAATACAAAAAATTTCGTAAGAAAAAGCTCTAAACATGCTTGAGAAGTTATAAATATTTTGGTTTCAACAAGAAAATGTTTATGCTAGCGAGTAATGTACTCGCAAGTTAAAAGATTGGGTAACAACTCTAAAATATAACTTATTGTCTCAAACAACTTTAGATAAATATTATATTTCATCTTAAACTTTTAATGTAATATATCATATATTTTTTTACAATATACATATAATTATTACTATATGGAGGCAACTTTTCTTAAGATGGGAATTAGAAAAATTATAACTTATTATAATATAGAGTTTACTCTTATTTATAACTATTCTAAATTAGAAATATAAAATTTTATGATTATATAAAGTTTATTTTTATATAAAATATCACTATAAAGAGGAATATAAAATTTTATGATTATATAAAGTTTATTTTTATATAAAATATCACTATAAAGAGGTTTTACTGTATATCGTATTAAAACTCAATAGGTTGAGAGAGAAAAGATTTTCTTATTACAGTTATAAATACAATCATAAAGCATCACATTTGTTATTCGTTTTATATAAAAAAAATTGTCTCGTTAATTAAGAGGGTAACGTCACCTTCCATCTCACTGATTCTCTTACCTTCCAAGTACGTGGTACAGCTCTCACACGTGGTACATTTCACCTTGCACCTAAAAATATTGGGTCCGATCCCCAATCAAACTCACTTTTATTGATCTCAAATTCTCAATTCTGAAATGTGTGAACAAAGAAGGCCATGCACGTTAAATGTTATTAAAGGCAAAAGGACTCGTGGCAGGGACCAAATAGTTGGTACAGCTCCATGATTGGGGACACCTTGCACATTTTTAGCCATTTAACGTGATCAGACGGCTGATCTCAATCCTATCTCCCTAACTGTAAGGTAGCATCATTAGGATCATTGTTGTCTCCTACGCGTGGCGCACTTTCAATCTTCCTTCATATATCTTTGGCGCCAAATATCGTTAACGTTAACCCAATTTGGCGATATCTTGTCACGTGCCTTTCAAGCTTTCTACCTCTTTTCCACCTTACACCTGTCCCCCTCACATGATTTATATGCCATTTAATTTCATTTTAGGATTATTTATTTCGT